GCTATCTTTGAAACGGGTAGCCCTTTGAAACGGGTCCATGAAATATTTATACTTTTCTGGATACACCTGTCTCTCCAAAGTCATGATGGGTTGTTTATCGATAGGGTTGTTGAACAGAAGCAGATAATGGGTGTTTCTTCTCTGAATTGGGTCTTTGCTGTAATACTAATTCTCTTTCAAGGCTATCACTGAGAGATTCGGTAAAAAAGTCTGTACTACATGGATCTTTGCTACCTGTCGACATTAAGTCATTGAGGATAGCAACGTCCACAACACTGGGGTCCAGAAATGCATCCTTTTGACCAGGTTGACCAGGAAGGAATGCCTTGATGAAATTCCACGTAGGGATAAACACTGGTTTGAATGGTGTTATACAGTGGCTGCCATCGTTTGTAGAGCCATATTATACATTGTGGATATGGTTTAATGTAGGCTTTCCCACAGGAGGTCAGTCCAGAGACGATCATAGTGAATGGATGTAGTAGCTAAATTCATCAAAAGACTGGAGAGCACTTTCTGATGAACGTGGTTGCTGCTGCTGCTGCTGCTGACGTTTCCAAGTTGGCACTGATGAAAGAGGAGGTCCATGAGGTGAAGGAGGTCTACTAGGAGGTCCCTGAGGAGTCAGAGGAGGAGGGGGTGGAGGAGGAGGAGAGGGTTGTTGATGTTTCTGTCTTCTATGTCTGAACATATTGTTTGTCCTGGAAAAAGTCTGATGGCACACGGGACATGTTGTTGACTGCATGGGTGCCCGAGTCTAAATGGCAGCAAACCTGTCTACTAGCGGCTTTTATTTAAAAAGTCGTCCCCATAGTTTTGTTGTGTGACCCTGGGAGGAAGTAATATTTACGGCTTCAGTTCCCCCATTCTCCTATATCTGAAAACATGCTTTGGCCTGTTGAACGACTTGTTGGGTTGGAGAAGTGAGTGCAAAAGTCTCTTTAGAATGGGGTAGGTCCATCTTGACCCCTTTCTTCTCATAATAGATCACATAATCATCCACGATAACAAAGGAATTGTGATATCCTTTGGCCTGCAAATAGTAATATTTGGTCCATTTCTTAGGATTGTCCAGATAGGGTCTCCAGTATCTACTGTTCATTTTCTTGTTCCGAATGAATACTAACTCTCAGGCAGAGGTTTCAGTTGAAGTGTCACTATCACTGCTCCACTGATAAATGAAGCTAAATCACCGTTCTGTCCTTTATGTAGATACCCACAGTCTGTACATTTTTTCAGTTTGACTGACACATAAACATCTCTTAACTCATTAAGCCCGAGAGCCCCATCACTACTCAACACCTGCAAGCCCTCGCTGATTGCCCACTCTCTGTGCCGAGACTAATTAGTGCTAGTCACACCTGATTTCCCTGGCAGGTTTCGGGGATCACAGGAAACTGTCTAGTCGTACAAACAAGTCCTGATTGTTTAATTGTGTCGTAAAGATATATGTTGAAAGAAATCAGGTGTGAATACATGTCCTGTATAGCAAGTTTTATGTAATTTTATTGCAAGTTTCTCTTGTAGACCATTTGTCGGCTTGTACATTTATATTTTATCACAATATGCATACACATGTATTCTTTGTATGTAACAGATGGGACACATGTTAACAAATTCTCTCTCTTATATCATTGTGTGAGGTTTGAATTTACAAAATATCTATGACAATGACATACTGTAAAGAGGAATTTACTTTCATACTTTATAATCTTTGATGAAAATAGCGGTTTTGCCGATACATTTCTAGTGTTTACGAATTATTTCAATGAAAGTACTATAACGCAAGTCTGTGACTAGCACAAAGCACATTCATAGCATTGCACTTTATTTCATACAGATTTAATGCAGAAAACATACGTGACCATACAAACATACATATACAAAATGTATACTACATATTCCTTGCATAGACATAAAACAAAGAGTCACGTGATAGGGCGTCATCAAATTTCCCGAATAGAACGTTCGGTATCTCAACTGTTCAATGTAGTGGCTGGTCATATGTTATCTGCGACCAATCGTATCATGAGATACCTGTCACAGAGGAAAGGACAGGTGATGGGGCGTGGGCGAAATTTCTGAAGAGCACGTTTGGTCACTCAGCAGCTTGGATAGAGATTGGTTATTGGCTATATCCTTGACCAGTCGATATGCTGGGTTTCAGCTTTATCAACTCAAGCTATCATATAACAGTTTGTGTATTGTAAACATACACACTGGTAACGATGTATGAAATATACACATAAGCCAAATAGGAGTAGATAGTCATTTTGGCGAGTTTATTTGTCCTCATTTTAGTGTTTTTCGATAAGTAAAACAAAGCGATTGAAATCCAACCACTGAGTGGAGGTAGTATTTATTTTCATATACATTTTATGCACACAACTAGTACATAAAACATAATGGTTTGCTGTACATGTAAATATAATCTTTACCTTGATCCAACTATCCAAACTAGAGTACAAGCATTACAGAATTCACGAGGTGACACTATACTGAATTATTATAGTGTATGAACTTGCAGTTGACACCCCCAATATTTATGAAGGTAGGCGTGCCTATATCTTTACTGAATGCAAACGAGGTTCATAAGATTACAGATGTGCATGCATGTATAAACATCACAGTGAGGGGCGTGATTCCATAAAGCAAGATGTCCATTCATATAACAGCGCATCTGTTTATTTTACACTTGTCACGGGACAAACCTTTCAACGGACGTAACTACATATGCATTCTACCGGAGGCTGTTATTTCAAGGTCGAAAGAGGCTGTTATTTCAAGGTCGAAAGAGGCGTTCAATTATCTCATTACTGTAATCTGCTTGAATGATTATATGCATGTGTATCGATACCGTAACTGATAAACTATCCAGCTTTTATTGAAGATGGATCAATAGAGACTGAGTTGATTGATACACGTGATAATTGCACCGGATTTGATAATTACACAGATCAAATATAAACGTTTTACAGAATGCTCATGTAAATTGCACAGAAAACTCATGCAAGGACAAGTCAATGTCCCATCTGAAATAATCTAACCACCAGAACATATCTTACAAGTAAGAAGTCAAAAACAGGAATTGCATCTGAACTGCATGAAAACTATTGTCAAATCAACATGAAACTTTCAACAGCTTGAACAAAAATGCTTGAAATACCTTTGTATGGCTTACATGTAATAACTTATGATATTACTTCTGTCCATGTGTGTCAATGTTTTGAATTACCAACTTACTGTCTTTTGTAACAAACGCAGTAAAACATTTCATTGTTGTAATAACACTGACATGTATATTTGTATTCGATGCAAAGGCGCGACTTATCACTTTATATTCGCTTAGGTAACATTACGAACTTTAGATTATGGAAAACAACTAGTTACAATTCAGTAAACTTCAAATTAGTAAGTTCAATTATGTTTAATCTATTCGAGCTTGGATGTATAATTACTTGTGTTTATACATTATGTTTCAGTATATGAAACATGACAATTGTTATGCCTAAAAAGTAAATTCAAACTATTCTATTGTGTTTGAATTCGTTGTATGTCCTTGAAATTACGTATATTGTTTCCTATTTATTAGGTAGTTGTAGGAAATATAATTTTTAGTAACCTCTAAACCGTTACATCTGATTCAATCAAGGTGCATACGAAGTATTATAGTATCCATTCCCAAGTAAGAGTACCAGGCACTTACCTCTGTAAAAACATCATAATCCCCTTTCTCGCCAACATGCGCTCATTTGCTAAACGCTGTACAAGCCTATGATAATGATAAGCAATTGTTATTAAAACACTTTAAATACTTCTTCTGATTGATACTAAAGGTGGGATCTCTCGTAAGAAAAGCTAACATTTGCTAAATTGGTTGAAATAATAGGTACAGTGCGATTTTTAAAAGTACAACACACATGTGCCTCTCTCGCTGAATAAAAGGTGCTTTCTGTTGACGACTGTATGTGGCTCTCGCTGTGTGAAACTGCTAATTACTTGCCCCCTAAACACGTCACTCGCTGTGAGGAGCTGATAAATTTGCCCCATATATGCGTCTCTCGGCCTTAATGAGTTAAGGAGGAGACCATGTTATCTATAACTGACACATAATGAAAACACATATCTATAAACTAGCATATCGTTTAATCTTGGGTTGAGAGTAAAATCATTAAGAATATCATTCAGTGAATATCCTCTGGCTTCCATCATCATATAAAACAAAGTATATAGTCCACAGGTTTTTACTGTTTCTATTTTGGAGTATCTCGGTATTGTGTTTGAAGGAAGCACCATTCCTTTGTAGAAATGTATGGAATGTCCTTTGATAATACTCAGGCTTTTTTCCCAAACTGTCCAAAGGTTCTGTGTGTTTCGAATCTTACAACCAAACCGTTATCCAGTGTAGTCCTCTTTGTTCAACAGGCATTGCAGTTGTTTTGTATTCACGTGAATTTAAGACAAGTAGGTAAGTTTGGCCAAAAGGTTTAACTTGAGCTTTAGGTATACCGATTGTTCTGATTTAGACCAACAACCGTGAAAGTCTCATTCATTGAAAACATGTACGTGAGGAAATGTCACCTGTTTCATATGTCTATATAAGTACAGATTTTCAGTGACAATGAACGGAATAACTGTCTTTCAAATAATTAATAGTCAATTTCCCTTCATGTCCAGCAATACTCCTCCAGCTGTTGGGATACATTCGAGCATGCTCTTTCCATGAAGACTCATACAACTTTTGCTCAACTTTTGACCTCATGTGGAGGAAATTTCCAAATTTCATGCAGTTTAGATGCAATTCCTGTTTTTGACTTCTTACTTGTAATAAATGTTCTGGTGGTTAGATTATTTCAGAATGGAAATTGACTTGTCCTTGCATGTGTTTGTGACGGGCGCCAACTATTGCCAACAAAGTTTGATAGTTATTCATAAACACGTGCTTATAATGTAACCTGATCCCACCATTGACTAGATAAGAGATTGCGTATGGATATGAAATGTCTTTGTCGCTTTTGTTTGATAAAATCTTCCAACTTGTATATGCATGTCAAAGGCTTTAATGACTCGTGTATCATAGAATGCTTGAATCTGTATTTTCATCAGATGGAATGACGGCTCCTCCTTTGTTTGGAGGAGCTATACAAAGTCAGAAGGTCAAGGAGGTGGAGAGGGTCAGACAAGAATTCCCAGAGACATGGCTCTGGATCAACAAGACCGTCGGGTAAGAAATTATGAACAACTTGTCAAACGTTTTTAGACCTCATACGGAAATCTTATATATTTCTGTCATGAAAACAGTACATAATCATTCTTTGTTCACCACGTGTATATATTTAATATGTATATAATATAACGAGCCTTAGCTGTCAACATTCCAATCAAAGAAGATTTCAAAGAGCACCAAGAAGCCTTTGCTTTTATTGTAGGCATGTGGAGGGCATTTCTCGAAACATCCCTATTTCTTCTTGTCTCCTATATTTACTTTCAGATGAACACGTAACTTGCTTTTCCATATGTATATGGCGGGTCGCACTTGTTCGTGTCTTTATCTACAAATCAACGTGTCTGTTTGTCCAGAGCTGACGGTAAAGCCACCATCAGTACCACCGTGCCTGACACTATCACCTCCTGGATTGCCAGCGCCTTTGCTGTCAACTCCGCCACAGGACTTGGTGTAGCCCAATCTACCACAAAGGTGCAATGATGTCTTGATAATTACCCTCCCATCAAAACCACAATACTTATCCTGTCTGTGCAGAAATTATAATTAAAACACAACTGAGCATCTGGTGAGTTCTTCATTCCTAAACTCTTTAACTTTAATGTCCAGGTCAGCATGTACATGTACTTCTGTTATATTCATCTTCAGGTGTTTGTCCTTTCTTATATTTTCTTATTGATCTCAGGCACAAAGTCTTTCAGACATTAAACATTGCTTATATATTTTCTGCTTATATTCTCTTCTCGATCTCCAAAAGAACCCAAATTTCCGACACGATAGAGAAACTTAACGTACAACATCCATCTAGTCTCAAAACTTGGATTCAATTTCTTCAGCTGCGTGTCTTCAGTCCCTTCTTCGTCAGCTTGTCCATGCCTACCTCGGTGTTAAGTGGAGAACAGGTCATCATTCAAGCCAGTATCTTCAACTACCTGTCAAGTGACGTCGACGTGAGTGAGTCTAAGGCTGGCCTTACATTACCGATCCAGACATGGATATTGGTGCAACTATTTCAAGAGCATTATGGTATCTGAATCACGACAGTCGTTCATGGTACTCATTGTCCGCACCAGGACACGTCTTAGAAAAGAATTTTCAGAATTACTAAGATATAACATCTTCCATCTTGGTCATCTTGGTTCTGAAAAGTTTTGACCAAAATTAGTGCGTATATCTTCACTTCATCCCAATTTTCATACAAAAATAGGTGCTTCGGAGAACTTACGTTAGTTCTAATAGTTTTGAAAGTTCATCAACAATGTTTAAATTCGTTCACTTTGCACAGATAATCTGAAACGCCTCAAAGCTCGTATGTTCCCTAAAAGGTACTTTGAAAACATCAGTAACAGTTAATATCATGCATATGTTCAATAGGTTGTAGTGTCGTTGCCTACGTCCTCGGAATACGTCAACGTGGTGGTTGACAGTTCTGGTAAAACTACCAAGGAGTCAAAGGACCAGACACAATATGTCACAGTAAGCGTTGCGTGGAAAACTCACTTTCACTCTTTGCATATGGAACCTTTCAAGGTGTTCGATAGCTTTATGAACAGGATATAGAATCATATATCAGCAGACTTTTAAGCTGAGAGTTGCATAATTAGAATTGACCGTGGGAATTAGATGGGAATAATGATAATCCGGACTCATCTCCTTCATATCGTTAATAATAAATTGTTCTACTTCAACATAATATCAGTTCCGAAGCCGGAACTAAGGAAGTCTGGATTAGACATGTTTAACAGGACAATGTATCCACAGTCTTAATTTTGGTCCGTACATTTTTTACAATACTGAATGATCCGGATTAGTCAGAGTCAGGTTTAGACAGATTCAACAGTTATTGTCATACCACTGTTAAATGAATTTGTCGCACACATTCCCACAATATATCATTCTGCCCTCAAGGTTAAATCCAACGAGCCCCAGACTGTGTACTTCCCTATCATTCCATCATCTCTGGGAGCTATCGACATCGAGGTGTCAGCACGAACAACTCTAGCCGCTGATGCTGTCAAGAGACAGCTCAATGTCCAGGTAATGACTTGTTCTACTAACGATACAAACCCTCTAGGGCTTATTTCTCACGACAAAGAGCATCAAGCTTCACGATCAGATTCGTTTTTGTTGGTTATTATGACAAAGATTGGGCACTGGTGATCTTTCTTTACACCGATCTGAGGTTACGTGAGGTGAAATTGGGTTTAACGTCGCTTTGTAGATTATTGCACTCTGAATCCTTGCTTCATCTAGTCAGAGGCGAGAGCAGTAACAATATGTAACATTTTTAAAGTTGCTATGATGTGGACAGTGAATCGAAATGCCAAACTTCCTCATTCTGGTCTGTTCACTACACCACAGAGATGGTATCTTGGATGGGAGGATTAAAGGTTCTTTAAATAACAAATAGTATATTGATATGTACATTTTGTGTACAGTTTACAGTATATATCTACTTCTTGTCCCAGGCAGAAGGGATCCCCAAAGAATACAACACACCTGTCTTCATTGAGCTGACACCAGGAGGCCCTGACTTCATCCAACATGTGGCGCTGTCACTTCCATCAGAGGCAGTAACCGGATCAGAGAAAGTCAGAGTCAAAGTGACAGGTATTCTGCAACAGCAAACTTTGTAAGGTATGAAACTGATATGACTTTTGGGCTATAGGTATATTTCAATGTTTAAGCAATCTTAATTGAAAGTTTGTTGGCGTGACAGTTTAGGTTACTTAGAAAGGACATTAACCATTGCCTGTATTCCAGGTGACCTGATTGGCGCCAGTCTCGACAACCTGGAGAATCTTCTGGCTCTACCAACTGGATGTGGTGAACAGAACATGATGACCTTTGCCCCGGATGTATATATTGCGGACTACCTGTACACAACCAAGCAAATGACACCCGCTTTGGAATCCAGGATCATGACCTATCTAGAACTAGGTAAAATTACATTTATATACATGAATGCAGGTTTGGCTAAATAAATTGGTACTGAAAGATATATTTGCAATCGTTATGTTTCTTCTTTATTGTCTGTTTCTCAACACCTATTTTACTTTCAGGCTACCAGAGGGAGCTCACCTATCAAAGATATGATGGATCCTTCAGTCCCTTTGGAGACCGTGATGAGGCAGGACACATGTGGTGAGTTTCCCTTTTCCCACATAAACTGCTCTATACTTAGTAAGTAAACAGAGACACTCATGCAAAAAGCTCCTACATTCGTCAGTCTAACGCATGACTGTTTCATCTTTTTCAAAGGCTGACTGCATTTGTAGCACGCAGTTTCAATCAAGCCAGGCCTTACATTTTTGTGGGAAATCAGACTTTGGCGAGGTCCCTGAACTGGATGGCAGGGAGGCAGAATTTAGATGGATCCTTCAATGAGCCTGGACTTGTGTTTGACAGACAGATGCAGGTACGGACAGGATATTACGAAATATTAACATTTCCAAAATGATATTTCCTGACTACACACATCTCAGTTGGTCCTTGTCTAGTACCTTAATATCGTGTTTCTTTTGTTTCCTCAGACTTCCAAAGCCTCTCTTACATCCATGGTGCTGCTGGCTTTCTTGGAAAATCAAGACATTGGAGGATATGGGGTAGGTGTAGGTTAAGCAACATATAGACTGATATGTTCTGAGAAACGTGTCAGTGAAAAATCCCTTTTTTCGCTTTTTGTCATTTTTGGAAACAACCCTGTAAACCCCCGAAAGATGACAGGACGGAGATGGGACCTTTTCTAAATTTGAAAATATCATTGGAACTTCTGTATAAGGACATATTTCACAAATACGCCTCGTTGATGTATGTCACAAGTGGAATGTAACAACACATTGACATGAGACAGAGGGAGTTTTCAGAGCTATATTTATTTTTAAAACACGGAATCCTGAAGTAGTTTTAATATTTGGCCTTCATTAAATGATGTAAATATCGCTATTTGAAATAAAATAAAGTCATTTTGATGTTGCATAATCGTACCTTGAAACAGTGACACTACAGAGGTTCTAAACCTTCTTGGTCTCTCTATATTCAGATTGTACACTACATACAATGAAACGCAACAGAATCAATACACTTGTGATAAATTTGAAATTCAGCCTGAAAATATACGTTTTTATGACAGATTAATGAGTACAGGTTGGGAAACGCCACTGTGAATGCCACGAAGTACCTGGAGTCAGTGGCTCCCTCTATCACGGATCCCTTCACTCTCGCCCTTGTCAGCTACGCCTTGTCTGAGGCTGGCAGCTCAGTAGCGGATGTTACGTTCAACAAACTCAACGCCGTAGCTGAGGTTAAAGGTAACTCTTGGAATTGTGTCACTGATACCCACGACAATTTGAACAATAGTTACATATAAATTTTTTTAAAAAGTGGCGTTCAGTGTGTGAACTCTGGCGGTCTTCAAAATTAACCTGTTTGTGTAACTGCTTTGAGAAAAACCAGTCATGATTGTCTACCGGGACTGATTACACATACGTACCCGCCACACAATCTACATGAGATCCTGAGACACCATTGTGAATTTATTGGTTTTTGTGGAACATAAATACCAGGTACCAGGCCTTGTCTGAGGCTGGCAGCTCAGTAGCGGATGTCACGTTCAACAAACTCAACGCCGCAGCTGAGGTTAAAGGTAAATTCTGGAATTGTGTCACTGATACCCACAACAATTTGAACAATAGTTTTACCAGGCTGCATACCGTATGGTTGTTTTCAAATACAAACCGTTTGTGCAAGAGAATAGACAGCCATGATCATCCACCGGAACTGATTACGTATACTTATCCGCCACACAATCTGCATTAAACATTAGATCCAGTGACACCATAATGTACCCACTGATTTTGTCTAAACCAAAAACTGAGACCCAAAAGAATCCAATATGCTTCTTATAAAACACTATTGCTGAGCCCATGTACAGCGTTAAATCCATTTTTCCATTCTCCTACATTGGTACTTAATTACCAGGTACTCTGAAACACTGGACGGAACCAACAACCGCCTCCTCAACGTATTATACCAACTGGACACCTTCACACACACGCGCCCAGCCCATTGACATTCAAACATTCGTATGGCCTTTTGGCATCCTCTGCTCGAGGAGATCTCAAAGAAAGTCTTCCAATAACCAACTGGCTGACCTCACAAAGGAACCCATATGGCGGCTTTTCTTCAACGCAGGTCAGTGTGGAATCAGGGACGAAGGTTATATTCTTTAGCAGCACTACCCACAGCCAAATTCTTAATACGGTCTTTTTAAGATTGAGGAACAGGATGCGTTAATTTAGCTCACTGTATTTCTTGAGGCCTTGTATTGATACTAGCTGTTCATGCTATTCAATGCTATATCAATAAATTCGTAACTGAATAAATGATATGATGCAAAAAATGTACAATAAGATATCAATGGTCTCTCAAAAAGGGAAATCAAAGAACATATTTTCTCACCTGTTTTAAATTCCTCCTTAGTGGCGATTGCCTGTCTTGTCAGTATTGTTGGACATAAAGTATATTAGTTCAAATTGTGTAGTTATTGAGACTGGTAATATTCAAAGAATTCAAAAATACCTACTGTGCTGATCCTCATGTATCACAGGACACAATGGTAGCACTTCACGCCCTAACTGACTATGCCCGACGTGCACATGCTTCCGGTTTCCAAATTGAGGTTGACATCAAGAGCGGAAGTGACACCCATCACATATCTGTGACTGATAGCAACGCACTCGTTTTGCAGTCAAGAGAGGTAGATTCAAAACTGGCATATGTGAATAATGTTAAATGTGTAATAGGTGAAAGTGCTGGTCTAATCCAAATGGTAAATTGATAAATTGATAAATTGATAAATTGTGAAACAGATTTAACTTTGCATTTATGCTGTGTATTTATACTCTGAAGCTCGTTCTTTAAAAGTTTAGCTTATGGTTTGTTCCAGCTGACGAAATTCCCAAAGGACGTGTCTATCACGGCTACTGGTAAAGGTGTTGCATATGCTGATGTAAGTATGAAACAATGCATTTAGCACAGTGCTCCGACTCTATGTAAGGCAATACCTGAATACTGAATAACGCATACATCAAATAAGTGAATCCCTTCAACAATAAATGGTCTATCTCAATATTCCAGGTAGATGTGCTCTTCAACGTTGATGCTGAAATCGGAGACCCATCCTTTGACATTAACACTGTGCTGCTTGATGACACCATCAACAACTTCAAACTGATGACCTGCACTAAGTGAGAACACAATTAATAACACTATTTCGGTCATGTAAGCGATATCTGTTAATAATCTTTTTCTGTCTTGACATGTCACAGTATTTGGATTATGAGAGTAGAACAGTGCGTTGATGGGCTTCAAACGAATTTGAAATCTATGTCATTTTGACCAGTCTTTTCGCCTCTCATAAAATATGCGTTTATCCTCTTTTTCCCCTCAAGATGGCTGAAGGAGGGATCCAGTGGAATGACAGTGATTGAAGTATCTATCCCATCAGGCTTTGATCCAGATATGACCTCAATGGGCAACGTTGCTGGTCTGAAGAGATTTGAAAGACGTGGTAGAAACGTGGTTGTATACTTTGATGAGGTGGGTTTGTGACGTTTTGACATCGGTTACTCGACTCCTGAAGTAAAAGTTATACCATAGTATTTTACCGATTAATTCACTTACTTGTAGAATTTAATCTAATAGAGTATGGTCAGTCTGTGAAATGAGTAATTTCGTGATTTGACTGAGTTGTTCAGTCCTATCGTAAAATGAAATTAGGGCTGATCATTACATCATTAAGTGCTATTAAAATACTTCCGTCAAATTAATCCATCTCTGTTCAAACAGCTCGCTGATTATTTCAGTTAATCTAATCCTTTCCCTTTAGCCTATGTACTTTCCCGTGGTAAAGGAAGCAGTATCTCATCTGTACATCACTTCATGTTTAATAGCTTGTGTTCCGTGTTTCATACTTTGAAATGTTAGCATATATTGCATGGTCAAGACTACAGTCACAGTTATTTTTCCCTTTACACCATACGGAATTTGTTTCTGAGGATAGTCAAATTTGGGTATTCTTTTGCATTAACGTTCTAAATATTTTGTATGGAAAATGTACAATGTACATTCCATTCTCTTTCCAAAGATCGGCACAACGTCCATCTGCTTTGACATCCTGTCCACCAGAACCGGCATGGTGACGAACAACCAGCCCAGCTACGTCACAGTCTACGATTACTACCAGCCCAGTGAGTCTGATATTTATACGTTAAGTGTTGATAACGTCTGAAACTTTGAACCGTGTTGCTGTTAGTGTATTACGCAGAAGCAATAACACAAAAATGACTTGATAGTTGTAAACAGGTCAAATTGCTTGTCGGTTATACAGACATGTATTTATAGTTATATTTTATAGCTATATTTTTATTTATCAAGAGTTTGTTGCAGATATTTGACGTTATTCATGTTTGTAGGTAACCAAGGTGCCACTTTCTACGAAACCCGCAGTCTCAAGGAAGCCACAATTTGTGATGTGTGTGAGAAGTGTTGCAAACAGGTCGGTGAATGAGATTCCATTTCCATAAAGTATATTGTTTTACATTTATGCATATGTGCTGAGTAACTTATCAAACTGCCGTTTACAAATATCAATTGCATACGTTTCAGTCAATATTTTACACATTCCTCAATTTGATTGTTGTACAAGAATGGCTTAGGATCCCTTTGGGTATCAGAAGGTCATTTTAATTATCTTTTCAGATCCGAAGACAACTGTGAAGAAGAAAAGACAAACATTGAAATTTTTATGCAAAATGTGAATAAATAATTGGATGCTGTGTAAATGACAAAAAGGGGTGATGTGAACGTTTCCATGGTCAACTTTATGTTGAGCAATATTCCAGCAGTTCCAGTCTTTGGTGTGTCTGCAAGTCATACATTTCGAGACATTTCGATATTTCAACCATCAATTATGAAATAATGTCTGATAACAAGTAATACTCTGGCATTTGATAATTTCAAATAATATACAACACAGGCCTAAATTTTTAAATATGTCAAGTTAAATAATCTCGTTTATCAGTATCGTTAAAATAACTTTAGATTAATGTTAAAAAAACACCGGGCATTGCGTTGGATAAATTTGTGTCACTATTGCGTTGAATTTGGAAATGTACTCCAATTTACCCAAAATCGTTTTGAAACTTTACTGTGAAGTCAGTAAATCGCTGTAATAAGGAAAAAGATGACTGATTGAAATTTAAAATTTGAAGTCATCCGGCTTGTACTTTCATCTCTTGAAAGAGAAAATGTCCACCCACGCGCCTCACAATCAGTACAAGAAAGATCCTCCTTTGCACAATGCGGAGCTGGATTCGCACTTATACCACCACACACAATGATCGAACCGTTACCAACGCTGTCAAGAGGTCTCTTTACACACTGGTTTAACGTTCATTTTGTCAATGACGGTTTCCCAGTTTCTATGGCTTTTAAACACACTTGATGTCTGGTGGCAAAATGTCGATTTGAACGGGGCTTTCCGGTCGAATATGAAACTGATCATGAGCCGCACGTAGACGGTTGATCAAAAAAGTCGAAATCTGGAATGGCTCCCTACACATCCCTGCCGGATGCGTGTTGGTGTTAAACCTTACAGACACAGGATAGCTGTCTGCAATACTTTGTCTTTATCTAGTGAGTGAGTGAGTTTAGGTTTTACACCACACTCAGCAATATTCCAGCTATATGACCGAGGTTTGTAAATAATCGAATCTGGACCAGACAATCCAGTGATCAACAGCATGAGCATCGATCTACGCACCTGGCAACCGATGACATGTGTCAACCAGTCAGCGAGCCTGACCACCTGATCCCGTTAGTTGTCTCTTACGACAAGCATGGGCTACTGAAGATCAATATTATAACCCGGACCTTCACGGGTCTCTGATATTCAGTATTATATAATGAGAATATATTATCCAACCCTCCAAGGTGTATTAAAAATTCATAAATGAGATGAAATATTTGACATGTTGAATGACAGAGACATTGATGTTTTGATTTTGAGTGAGACATGGTTTCAACCCTGAGATGATGAATTGAAGATTGCGTTAATGACACCGTCAGGGTATGCGTTTAAACATAATCCCCGCCCATCTCGAGGTGGAGGCGTGGCCATTGTCTTTAAATCTCAGCTGGAAGATTGTTGAATTTTTTCATCTTTTGAAACTTTAGATATTTCGTTAACTGATGGCACCCTAGACTGGGTTGTAACGAAGGATACGATGAAAGACACTATAAAGGATACGTGCTGTGTTTTGTGACCTTAGTGTGACCGACCTTCAAATATCAGATCATTATCAGATCACTTTCTCTCAAAATGCAGATAAGCCCCCTTATCAAGAAGTGTCGGAATTTAAAGGCTATATTGCATGCCTTAGGTACATCGTACGTATGGAGATACTAAACCTTGGTAAAATGAATGAATGAAATTTAAGAACCGCTGCGTATCTTAACTGAATGTGTTACTGATATACATTTGCTCAGATAAACAATAATGTAGCTTCGCCAACTTTCCGGACCGTTTTTAGCGTACTGCTGAGGAGACCGTGTGTCTCTGTCAGGCGATTAACGCTTCGCACAATATAAATCTATACCTGTGAATTATATCTCTTATCTTTGTTCAAGAAGGCGTATTTGCTAAATATGGGTTCACAAACAATTACTAGTACTACTTAATTAGACAGTTTCATAGTCACTTTGGTGAATATAGTAAAATTGTATCACGTTGGGTCTGGAAAGTTAATGTACTTAGTGCTTAATTGCACTTATTTCATTGTCAGTGGTTTAGATGAATATATGTAACATGCTGAGGCGATGCAATGCATCCAACATTCTCATACGTACAGTGATCATACGTTGGCACCTGCGTATTGCTCAAACTATGGATACAATGAGTGATTTTGCTGTGTGAAATGGGTGTTTACATGAATGCGTGTCTACCCTTAACGATTTGAAAGCTTCACTAAAACCTATTACGACTATGTACGATGAAAAAAAATCATTCGTCATATTCTTTTGACCGGTCACCATGATGGGTGCAGATCTCAAAATATTGGAATATCTGTGTGTTTTTACTCTTTTTTTTGTCATACTGTCCAATTGGGACAGTGACTCTAAGGGGTTACATGATGGCAATTTATACTGTCGTCTTCCTGTCATAACCAGTTTCAAATACTGGTGGCCCATCGTCTGAAGAGCCGCAGTTGACCGTGTGAAGCTTAATCTGTTTGACACGTTCGCACCGATCTACTATCTGTTTCACTTCGTGCTTTTGTAACACACTCATTCATTTACTCGCATATCAAACTTCGAGATGGTTCTCAAAGATCTTCAGGTGTAAAAGCTGGGGAAAAGTTGGATAATCTGTCAGTTTGTGTCAAAAGGTCAGAGAAAACATTTTGTTTGGTGTGTATGAATCAGAATGGTGAGAAAATGGCGACAAATATACGATTTAATTGTCATGATACCTATTTATGTAGTAATGGTTGTTTTCGTTTAAATAAATTTGATTTCCTTACATACATGTATCTAACATATTAACTACAAACAACAAATGTTTTCAAAAAATCCCAGAACGACTAGTATATTTTCATCACGAATAATGTCGTACTTCATACTAAATATTAGACAGACATCCTATGTCTGAAAACTTAATACCAAAACATATCCAGGAGTTTGCCACACGCACAAGCTCCATTCACGAGCGTACGGAAGCCATACCTGATTTCGACATTTTGGTAAAGCGCAGGTAAACATGCAGCTCATGATCATCTCCATATTCGCTTGCACGTCCTGTTCAAATCGACATTTTGTCAACAGACATCAAATGTGTTTAAAAATCATAGAAACTCGGATAATCATAACTGGTCCCGCTTTAGTTTGCACATCCTTCATAGGCATGGTTGGATCTTGCGAGGTCAAAATGAAAGCTAAAACAATGTCGTTTGAGACCTCATGACAGCGTTGGTGATGGCTGGTTCATGGTGTGAGGTGACTAAGTGTGATTGTGCGAATCCAGCTTCACATTATGCAAAGAAGGGTCTTTGTTGTACCGATTGTGAGGTGTGTGGGTAGACGTTTTCTCATTCACTAGTTTAAAAGACTTCAAATTTCTGACAATCATCTTTTTCTTTATTACAGAGATTCACAAACTTAAAAGTAAAGTTTCAAAACGTTTGGGGGTAAATCGGAGGGCATTTCCAAATTAGACACAATAGTGACAAAATATTATCAACGCAATTCCCTGTCTTTTTAAACATTTAACATTATTTTTTATGAAACGGTTAAAAAGACTATTTAACTTTACATTTTGAAATATTTAGGCCTGTGTTGCATATTATTAGAATAGTATCGAATTCAAGAGTATTGATTGCTATTATCAGACATCAATTTCCTTATTGATGGGTCAAATCTGGTAATATCGTTTAATATTTTTCCAGATGACATGCAGACAAAGGCTGGAACTGCTGGAATATTGCTCAACATAAAGGGAAAGTTGATCAAGGAAACGTTCACATCACCCCTTTGTCATTTACAATGCACATAGTTCCTTGTTACTCTGAATCTTCAAACATCCACTCCAGATAAAAGACGAGGCATCTTGAACCGTATTCCATCAGTTATTCTTTATCATTTAAAAATCAAAAACACTGATGGAGCGTTGATCGAATTATTTATTCACATTTTGCATAAGACTGTTAATGTCTTTTCCTCTTCACAGTTGTCAGATCTGAAAAAATAATTCAAATGATCTTCTGATACAAAAGGGATCCTAATAACATTCTTGTACAACAATGAAATGGAAGAATGTGTTAAAAATTGACTGAAATGTATAACTGATATTTGTAAACGGCAGTTTGATAAATCACTTAGTACATATGCATGAATGTAATAGAATATAGATTTCGGGAAATGGAAACTCATTCACCGACCTGGTTGCAACACTTGTCACACACATCACAAATTGTGGCTTCCTTGAGACTGCGGGTTTCGTAGAAAGTGGCACCTTGGTTACCTACAAACAAGGTTACAAGAGAATGCTGACGTAGATAGCGTGAAATATCTGCAACGATTTCTTGATAAGTAAAAATATAAACATAAAATATAATTGTAAATACATGTGCGACAAGCAATTTTGACCCGTTTACAGCTACTAAGTCATTTTTGTGTTATTGCTTCTGCGAAATTCACAAACAGCAACACGGGTCAAAGTTACAGACGTTATCAACACTTAACGTATAAATATCAGACTCACTGGGCTGGTAGTAATCGTAGACTGTGACGTAGCTGGGCTGGTTGTTCGTCACCATGCCGGTTCTGGTGGACAGGATGTCAAAGCAGATGGACGTTGTGCCGATCTTTGAAAGAGAATGGAATGTATGACATTGACATTGTGTATGTACTATTAGATTTCATTTTCCATATGAAACAAAGAAGAATACTTAGAACGTCAATACAAAAAGAATACCTGATATTGGCCACAGACACAAACACTAGCTATTAAACATGAAGCGATGTCCAGATGTTGTACTCTTTTAGTACAATGGAAACGTTCATAGGCCAAATGGAAAGGATTAGACTAACTGAAGAAAACATCGAGCTATTTGAACAGAGATGGATTACGCTTTTTGACGGAAGTAATCTAAAACAGACGATAGCACTTTTCATCTAATAATGAGCCCTAATGTCATTTTACGATAAGACTGAACGACTCTTTCAAATCACTCATTTCACAGACTGACCATAACCCATGCTCTATTAGATTCCATTCCACATGCAAGTAAATGTATGGGTAAAGCACTACAGTATAACTTTTACTTTAAGAATCTTGGAACTGAAGTCAAAACGTCACAAACCCACCTCATCAAAGTATACAACCACGTTTGTACCACGTCTTTCAAATCTCTTCAGACCAGCAACGTTGCCCATTGAGGTCATATCTGGATCAAAGCCTGATGGGATAGATATCTCCATCACTGTCATTCCACTGGATCCCTCCTTCAGCCATCTTGAGGTGAAAAAGAGGAAAAACGCGTATTTTTTAAGGCGAAAGGACTGAAAAGACATAGATTTCAAATTAATGACATAGATTGTTTTACTTTCATAATCCAAATACTGTAACACGTCAAGACAGAAAAATCATTATTAACAGATATCACTCACATGACTGAAATAATGTTATTAATTGTGTTCTCACTTAGTGCAGGTCATCAGTTTGAAGTTGTTGATGGTGTCATCAAGCAGCACAGTGTTAATGTCAAAGGATGGGTCTCCGATTTCAGCATCAACGTTGAAGAACACATCCACCTGGAATGGAAATGCAGTCAGTATTGAGATACAGCATGTATTGTTCAAGGGATTTGCACACGTATTTGATGAATCCATTATTCAGTATTCGAATAATCAGATTCAGGTATTGACTAACTTACAATTAAAGCACTATGCTTAGGCCATTGCTTCATACTTACATCAGCATATGCAACACCTTTACCAGTAGCTGTGATGGAAACCTCTTTGGGGAATTTAGTCAGCTGGAAAACAAATCGTAAGCTAAGCTTTTAAAGAACGAGCTTCAGAGTATAAATACGCATGAGAAACGCCAAATTAAGTCTTTTTCAAAATTTCTCAAAGACAAATGCATGTACCATTTGGAATAGAACAACACTTGTATATGCTAACAAATTTTACATTATGCATATATGCTAGGTTTGAATCTACCTCTCTTGATTGTAAAACGAGAGCGTTGCTGTCAGTCACAGATATGTGCTGGGTGTCACTTCCGCTCTTGATGTCAACCTCAACTTGGAAACCGGAAACATGTGCACGTCGGGCATAGTCAGTTAGGGCGTGAAGTGCTACCATTGTGTCCTGTGATATATGAGGATCAGTAGAGTAAAAATTGAATTCCTTGATCATGCAATATGAACTGATTACAGTTTATATCAAACAACACTGACAATACACGCAAATGGTCACTAAGTACGACTTTAAAACAGGTGAGAAAATTTGTACTTAGATTTCCTTTGTGGAATGTCAATCGATGTTTTATTGTATATTTACATGATATCATTTTTTCAGTTCCGAACTTATGGACACAGCAATGACTTGAATTAACAATAATTATCACCTAGTATTCATACACGGCCTCAAGATACACCTTGAGCTAAATTAGGGCATCCTGTTCGACAAACCGAGCATATCTTTATAAAAATTGTACTATGAATTTGACTTTGGGTAGTGCTCCTGAAGGCTAAAAATCCTTTAACCGATTCAACACTGACCTGCGTTGAAGAAAAGCCGCCATATGGGTTCCTCTGTGAGGTCAGCCAGTTGGTTATTGGAAGACCTCCTTTGAGATCACCGCGTGCCGAGGATGCCAGAAGGCCATACGCTGTCATCTGAATGTCAATGGGCTGGGCGCGTGTGTGTGGAGGTGTCCAGTTTGTATAGTAAGTTGAGGAGGCGGTTGTTGGTTCCGTCCAGTGTTTCAGAGTACCTGATGATTAAGTGCCAATGTAGGAGAATGGAAAAATGGATTTACCACTGCATATGTGATCAGTACTCACCTTTTTAAAAGCAACGTTACTTTGGTTTGAGTTTTTGGTTTACACAAAATCAGTAAATACACTACGGTGTCTCTAGATCTCACTTTTTATGGAGATTGTGTCGCGGGTACGTATATGCAATCAGTTCCGGTGGATGATCATGACTTGCTATTCTCTTGCACAAACGGTTTATATTTGAAAACAACCATATGGTATGTAGTCTGGTGTAACTATTGTTCAAATTGTTGTGGGTATCAGTTGACACAATTCCAAAATGTACCTTTAACCTCAGCTGCGGCGTTGAGTTTGTTGAACGTGACATCCGCTACTGAGCTGCCAGCTTCAGACAATGCGTAGCTGACAATGGCAAGAGTGAAGGGATCCGTGATAGAGGAAGCCACTGACTCCAGGTACTTCGTGGCATTCACTGTGGCGTTTCCAAGCGTATACTCATACATCTGTCATGAAAACATATGTTTTCAAGCTCAATTCCACGTTTGATATGCTTCTATTGTTTCTAGTGCGATAGTGTGTTGTAGAAGCTACATATGAGAGACTCAGAAGGTTTGGATCCTCTGTAGTGTCATTGTTTCAAGATAGGTTAATGCAACATCAAACTGATTTTGTTCCATTTAAAATCTTGATATTTACATAATTTAGTGACGGCCAAATGATCAAACTTCTTCATAATTACATGTCCGTATTAAAACATATATATAGATCTGAAAACTCCTCTGTCGCATGTGTGTTGTTACATTCCGCTTGACACAGAACATCAACGAGGGTATTTCCAAATATGTCCTTACAGAAGTAAAATATTTCCAAATTTAGAAAAGCTTACTTAACTTACAGAAGCCAGTTCTATCCTTTCCCTCTTTAGGTTTTCAAAGGTTCATTTTCAGAAATGACAAAGACCGAAAAAACAATTGTTCACTGACATTTTTCCCACGTCAAAGAACATATGAGTCTATATGATGCTAAACCTACACCTACCCCATATCTACCAATGTCTTGATTTTCCAAGAAAGCCAGCAGCACCATGGATGTAAGAGAGGCTTTGGAAGTCTGAGGAAACAAAAGAAACACGATATTAAGGTACTAGACAAGGACCAACTGAGATGTGTGTAGTCAGGAAATATCATTATGGAAATGTTAATATTTCGTAATATGATGTCAGTACCTGCATCTGTCTGTCAAATACAAGTCCAGGCTCATTGAAGGATCCATCTAAATTCTGCCTCCCTGTCATCCAGTTAAGGGACCTCGCCAAAGTCTGATTTCCCACAAAAATGTAAGGCCTGGCTTGATGGAAACTTCGTGCTACAAATGCAGTCAGCCTTTGAAACAATGAAACAGTCATGCGTTAGACTAAGGTGTGAGTGAGCTGTTGCATGGGTGTCTCTGTTTACTTACTAAGTATAGAGCAGTTTATGTCTTTGAAAGGGAAACTCACCACATGTGTCCTGCCTCATCTCGGTCTCCGAAAGGACTGAACGATCCATCGTGTCTCTGATATGTGAGCTCCCTCTGGTAGCCTGAAAGTTATATAGGTGTTGAAAACCGGAAATTGGAAAAAGAAACATAACAATCACAAATAAACCTTTTGGTACCAATGCATCCAGTCATTAACTTAAAGAAAAATAATTTTACCAAGTTCGAGGTAGGTCATGATCCTGGACTCCAAGGCGGGTGTCATTTGCTTGGTTGTGTAAAGGTAATCCGCAATATATACATCCGGGGCAAAGGTCATCATGTTCTGTTCACCACAACCTGTGGGCAGAGCCAGAAGGTTCTCCAGGTTGTCGAGACTGGCGCCAATCAGGTCACCTGGAATACAGGCAATAGTTAATGTCCTTTTAAAGTCACCCAGTGTGTCACACCAATAAACCTTCAAACAAAATTGCAACATACCCACGGCCATAAAGTATATCAGTTTTATTCTTTACAACCAAATTTCACTGTTGCAGAATACCTGTCACTTTGACTCTGACTTTCTCTGATCCGGTTACTGCCTCTGATGGAAGTGACAGCGCCACATGTTGGTTGAAGTCAGGGCCTCCCGGTGTCAGCTCAATGAAGACAGGTGTGTTGTATTCTTTGGGGATCCCTTCCGCCTGGGATAAGAAGAAGATATAGCCTATACACTTTACACATAGCATAATGTTCATATCAATAGGGTAATGTGTAATGTAACAACTTTCACCCATCTATCCAGGAAACTATTTCTGTGGCGTGGTGGACAGACCATCTTGTTAGAATGGGGAACCTTTTTGGTTCGATTTTCTGACCACGTTATAACTTGTTGCTTGTTATTACTCAAGTCGGATAAAACAAAGGCTGATCAGCTTAGAGTGCAATATTTTTCAAGTCTACGTTAAACCCAATTTCTCCTCATGTAACCTCAGATCTGAGTAATGAAAGATCACCAGTACCCCATCTTTGTCATAATAGCTAACAATGAGGCTTGATGATTTCTTTGTCAAGAGAAATGAGCCCTACAGGATTTACGTCGTTAGTCAAACAAGTCATTACCTTGACATTGAGCTGTCTCCTGACAGCATCAGCGGCTAGAGTTGTCCGTGCTGACACCTCGATGTCGATAGCTCCCAGAGATGATGGAATGATAGGGAAGTACACAGTCTGGGGCTCGTTGGATTTGACCTTCAGCACAGAATGATATATTGTGGGAATGTGTGCAGACATATGCATTTAACACTGTGATAATAATTGTGTCTCACCCGGATCATCTCTTAGTATTGTAAAAAATGTACGGTCCCAAATTAACACTGTGCATATATTATCATGTAAAACACATCTAATCGAGACTTTCTTATTTCCGGCTTCAGAACTGATATTATGTTGAAGTAGAACATTTTATTATTAAGATGAAGGGGTTGAGTCCGAATTAGTCCGGTGAGCTGTGCTTGCAACACAGACTGATGCACCTCTAAAAAAAAGGCATGTTCATTTCTCGAACACCTTGAATGGTTCCATTTGCTAAAGAGTGAAAGTAAATTTAACACAACACTTACTGTGACATACTGTGTCTGGTCCTTTGATTCCTTGGTAGTTTTACCAGATCTGTCAACCACCACGTTGACGTAGTCCGAGGACGTAGGCAACGACACAAAAACCTATTGAACATACACATGATATTAACTGTTACTGATGTTTTCCAAGTACCTTTTATGGAACGTACGAGCTTCGAGGGTTTACACATTATCTGTGCAAAGTGAACTAATTTACACCTTGTGTAACTGTACAATGAGTAGCAATTAATCCGTAGTTCCCAGACGCGAAATATTTGTGTGAAAATGAAGACAAAATTGAGATATTCGCTCTACCGAACTATTTTGGTCAAACGTTTTCAGAACCAGGATGACCAGGATAGAAGATATCATATTTTATGCATTCTGAAAGTGTTCTTCTGAGCCGTGCCCTGCTGTGGACAATGAGAACAATAAACTGTCATGATTCAGATGCCATGATGAAGATGAGGCAGTGGAAATAGTTGCACCAATATCCATGACTGGATCGGTAATGTAAGGCTAGCCCCAATCGATAACATAAGGCAGGTATGCTCAGAAGATGAGGCAGTGGAAATAGTTGCACCAATATCATGACTGGATCGGTAATGTAAGGCTAGCCCCAATCGATAACATAAGGCAGGTATGCTCAGGAATGAATGATTTGGTCACATGTCGTTCTTATTTAATAACGTTTTCAAGTGACTGATTTAAACATGACGCTCACATCAACATCACTGGGCAGGTAGTTGAAGATACTGGCTTGAATGACGACCTGTTCTCCACGTAACACCGAGGTAGGCATGGACAAGCTCACGAAGAAGGGACTGAAGACACGCAGCTGAAGAAAGTACACGTATTGTGCGTTACGTTGCTCTGTATATGGACAATGTGGCACTTTTTGAGACAGTACGAAAGATTTCGTGGCTGCATTCTCAAAGCAAGTCCCAAAACATTCAAGGTAAATTAATTCTTACCACCTTTTTAGTCGAAGAATATATGTGCTTTTATGTATAGCTAGATTTGACTATAACAGCTAAAAGGATGGTGTAAATCCAGCTAGGGTCCATGCAAGAAGCAAATGTACTATTAGTCCCCAGGGTCCCTAATGTGGTGATCTGCCTTCAGTTGTTGGCGATCTATAGCCTGGTTTTATATCTTCATCGTTGTGTATAATTACTATATATTAGATTAAATTAATAGTTTTAAATTAATATCTGTGTTAATCTAGTTGTTTTGTTGTCTTTCACTGACAAATGTTTATAATTCACTGTTAATTATTATAAAACTATAACTTGATTTAGTCACGATATGGCTAAAATATTGCCGATGTGACTATAAATTGTAACTCACACACTCACTCATTTAACATACTCAACATGACACCCACCTGAAGATTGAAAATTACAGAAATATATGCTGAACTAGGATCCTAATTTCTCTTCAACGAAATGATATCTTGCAACAGTGTATTTTTTTGTAGCAGACAATTTCTATTTTCCTCCGTCTGAAGCATAATTATTTTTCCAAAATATCTGTGACAATTGGGGGTGGGGGAGGGTGGTGTGTGTGTGTGTGTGATGGGTGTGGGGTGTGTGTAAGGGTTGAATCCTGGACCAGAACTGCAATCATATATTTTTAAAAACAATCCCAAGGCCCTGGTCATGTATAATTGGGGTTGGTGTGCTGGTTGGAACAGTATCACATTTTGCTATTTTGACATACAGTCGTGCCCCCATTTCCGTTAATTCTTCTTCTACATTTTCACTGGGAGTTTCCTTTGCAAGAGGTTAATTCGGCTCGTATTGATACGGTCTAACATCCATGTCAAGAATGATATCAGGAACACATTTTACTGCTTCAGAATCCACGGTCACTGTCAAGTAAAATCAAAGAGGAAGCCATCGCCAATAGGCACATATGACGCCATGCCACGTGATACCCGCTTCTGCTCATGAACTGTCGGGTGTTTCCGTAAAAGGCGGAAATAGGAGTGCTTTTTTCACGTATCTATTTCTATTTTGCGATGTTGCGATTTTAATTGTTCAATGTTAATGATGAATGGTTTCTTTGAGAATGCTTTTACCCCTTTGAACCCTTGAACTTTTTGCCTTACTATTTTCATTTAAGTAGTACTGTTTTGAGGGAAGGATAAATACAACACATCATTGCACCTTTGTCGTAGACGGGGCTACACCAAGTCCTGTAGCGGAGTTGACAGCAAAGGCGCTGGCGATCCAGGAAGTGATAGTGTCAGGCACGGTGGTACTGATGGTGGCTTTACCGTCAGCACTGGACAAACAGACAACAAGCTGAATTGTAGATAAGAAACCGAGCACGTGTCATTCGTAAAAATTACTCATGGTAAGGCAAAGTAACTGTTCATCTGAAATCCTATAGAATACAAAAAAGAGGGGGGAGGTGGGGGGAGGGAGACGTTTTGTTTTCATTGCTGAGATCTGTGTGATGTACTCGATACACTGACAGTGCCATAATCAGTTTCATTAGGCTACACCGCCGTTCCAAAACATGGGTATACAGAATGTCAAGTCACAAGAATAAAAATGCGAAATTTCTCACTTCAATATCGTGTATGGCCGCCCCGCGCATTCACCACTGCCAAACACCGTCTCCTCATCGACTGCCTGATGCTTGTGAACACGTGGTTGGGGATTCTGCGCCATTGCGCTTGCAAGGCAGCGCCAAGTTCCTGCAAATTCTGAGGTTGGTTCCTAAGACCACGAAGCCTTCTCCCAAGTGCATCCCAAACGTGCTCTATTGGATTAAGGTCAGGGGACCTCGATGGCCAGTCCATGACGTTGATTCCAGCGTTTTGAAGGAAATTTCGTGTCAACATCGCGGTATGCGGCCGAGCATTATCATGCTGGAACCTGGGCCATGAGCCGCCATGAAAGGAACGAGTGCAGGGGTGAGCACCTGGTCGCGGTAAGCAGCAGCTGTGAGGTTTCCACGGATGACCAGAAGTCGGGAACGGTTGTTCCCACAGAAAGCACCCCACACCATGCAACTTCCGCCCCCGAATCTGTCGACTTCCTGTACACAACAGTGGGCATACCGTTCACGACGTCGTCTCCAGACTCTATGTCTGCTGTCCGCAAATCTGAGGGTAAACCTGGATTCATCGCTAAAGACGACTCGATTCCAGTCTCTCTGGGTCCATCGGAGGTGACGTTGGGCCCACAGCAGACGTTGACGTTGATGAAGTCAATATTGGCCCACGATATGGACGTTGAGAATGGAGATTGGCATCCCGCAACCGATTTCGAATGGTCTGTGAGGACAGTCGACCTCTAAACATCTCAGCCCTGGTGTAGCCGGCAGAAATCTGTCACGTAGGTGACGTAGGACGATTTGACGGTCTTCTGCTCGTGATGTCACACGTGGACGACCCGACCTTGGGCGATCAGAAGTGGTGCCAGTTTGTTGTAGACGACCTCGCAAGTCATACACAGTACGACGGCTGCATCCCATTGCTCTTGCGACGTCAATAACTGATCTTCCCGCTTGCAACATGCCAACGGCACGTTCACGTTGCACATTTGACAATCGTGGCATTTCAAGTAACGTTAGAACTGTGGTTTAAAAGTGTTTTTTCAGTTCTTGAGGCCAATGCAAACACGTGCATATGAAGAAAACTTCGATGCGAAGATCACGTGATCGACTGCACGTGCCAAACCTGATTTGGCACTAACGTCATTTGCACAAGGAATGGATGGGTTTGAGTGGGTTTTGCTAATGTTTTTCTAGAGTCGAAAGATAGGGATCCCATTTCGGATACAAAGATGTATCATCAGAGAAAAATTATTCATTATTTTTCAAATTACATTTTGTGAAGTTTCTTTTTTGACTCAGTATATGTCCACAATAGACGCAAAGGTGTTTGGGCGTTCTTCAAAACCTTCTTTGGTTGGAATGCAGAGAGCATAGGCTTGTTATTTAAAATGCCGTACATGTATAAAACAAATACTAACAGGGGTGAACAAAGTTTTATCATGTGCTGGATTAATGTAGCAGATTTCCGTATGATTTCCGTATGACCAGTTTGTCAAAGCCGTTTCCTACCCAACGGTCTTGTTGATCCACAGCCATGTTTCTGGGAATTCATGTCTGACCCTCTCCACCTCCATGACCTTCTGACTTTGTATAGGTCCTCCCGAAATTTGAGCCGACATCAGTTGGCTGTATTCTATGATACATCAGTTTTTATAGCCTTTGACTGACATTCAAAGTGGAGAGATTTTGTTAAACAAAACCGAAAGCATTTTCATAAGCATAAGAATTCTCGTAAGATTGTTTATAGTAGGATTCTGATTACACTATGAGTATGTGTTTATGAACAACTATTAAATGGCATCGGATGACATATTTGACACTGATGCATGAAATTTGGAAATATATTTATCCACATGGCTAACATAAACTTTTCAAAAGCTCTTCTGAGCCCTCGACTGTTGTAACCATCATCTGACAACTTTTGAGAAAGAGTTGTAAGACTCCTTACATCTTCATAGAAAGAGCATACTCGATAATACCTCAAAATTTGTAAACTATCAAAGTCTGTAGCTGCTCGAGTATTGGTGGACAAGATGGAAAACTGACTCTTGGAAAGAGAGTCACCCCGTGTTTTGTCGAGGGTTCATGCCACGTTCAAGTCAAACACCTTGGCCAAACTGACTAGTCTTGACTTCACGTACAAACCAAGAAAACACTTCTATTCACATGCACAAAGAAAAAGATAACCCGGAAGTGGAGCGCAGTTTTGCCAATGTTATGACCACTACCTGTCAAAACATTTAACCCAAATTTTACATTCATGTTTTCAATAAGAAAGTGCGACATTTCAGAAAATGTTTTCTCAATAGATGTTAGATGACCTTTGCTTTAAGTTTTTAATAGTTGTTCTTAACAATGTATAAATAATGAATGACATATTGGAGGAGAAATATATGTATAAATATATCACACTTACTGAATGAACAAAGTAATGGAAACGTTGTGCCTGCAAATATGAATCAGACAGTGTCATGTATATATATATATATATAAATATAAATATAAATATATATATACGGAACATCAAGCAATTACTGGTTTGACAAGGTTAGCCTCATTTATCTGCAGGGCGTTTATAACATTGATGAATGTGGCGTAGAACAACACAAAGAACATATCGCATAACAATGTGGACTCAAGAATATAACAGCATATTAGTATGGTGAGTGAGTGAATTAAAATTTATCGTCACATCGGCAATATTTCAGCAATATCATGACGGGAACAAGTGATGTTAACTTGTAAAAACCTGTCTACGAAGGACAGTAAAATAGCTAGATTATCACAGATTCGAATTTAAAACTAGTAATTAGATCTAAAACAGTTTAACTATAGATGACAATACAAGGTAAAAACAGGCTATATATTGCCAACAACTAAAGGTAGATCACCATACTAGGGACCATGAGGACTTACAGTACATTTGCTTCCTGCATGGACCCTAGCTGGATTTACACTATATGTTCAGCCGTTAGCAAGTTAGAAAATCTAGCCATACATTAAAAAGACACGTATTCTACGATTAAAAACGTGGAAAGTTTAAATTTACTTTGAATGTTTTGGGACTTAGGTATCCTCTCAGGAGGACAATGATTTTACAGTACTTTAACCCTCTTGAGGATACACCCACTCACAATCGAAGTTACTAATATAAACTTCCAAAAAGGAAATATTGATCTATTTACATCATTCAACAAATCTAATTCTTTTAAAAGTACAATAATTAAATGAGAATTAATATTATTGATAAAGATCCTTCATAGTTCGTGATTTGAAATAGATATCTCTTGTGATGGAATATTCAATGCAGTCAAGCAAGACATGCTTGACCGTGATTCTTTCATCACAAGGGAAGGAAAACGGAGGATCTTCGCCTTTCAATAAATATTCGTTTGTATATCTAGTATGGCCAATGCGACATTGTCGCATAATGACCTCTTCAAATCTGGACTGACAACCCAAATAGGTGTTACCAATATAGGGTTTTATTTCATGTAATGTATTAATACCTACTTGGGTGTCCCACTTCTTCTGCATCAGATCACGGATGTACGATCTAATGGTTGCTTTGTAATCAGATTACGGAATGAGAAGTGGTGTCACAGATGTGTTGAGTGCTGCCTTAGCAGCAAGATCGGCCATTGTGTTACCAGAAATGCCAACTTGGCTGGGTAACCAACAGAGGACGGTGTCGTATTGGCCAGTAGCACGATCATTATGTAATTCAATAATTTCAATTAAAAGTGGATGTTTGCAAGAAGATTTTAAATAGCCTGAAGGCAAGAACGAGAGTCTGAAAATATGATATATTGATTATATTTAGGATGATGTTTAATACATTTCAGCGCTGTTAATATGGCATTTGCTTCTGCTGTGAAAATAGAACCATTGCCTGGTAATCTTGAAGAGATTGTTCTGGATCCAATGACAGTGGCACATGCCACTGCGCCACCATCCTTGGATCAATCTGTAAATAAGGAGTTGTATGCATTATGTTTACTTTTTAATTGATTATACTCTTGTTTATATTGTAATTCATTAGTGTCTGCTTCTATAAATGTTGTCAGTGTCAGGTCAACTTCTGGTCTCACCAATTGCTGAGGAGGAGAAGAAAGAAGACGGGAAGGAAATATATATTTTCCAGCTCAATGCCTGCAGCGGAATTGAATGGTTTCATTTTTAGCCCAAGAGGCGGAACAAGAGAAGCCTTTTTGTTGTATAAATCCTCATAAAGAGGATTAAAGACACAGCCATAAGCAGGGTTCGACTGAGTAGAATGTAGTTTAGTAAAATACTGTAAAGATAATTTGATACGGCGTTGGTCTAGAGAAGGCTCGTCAGCTTCAACGTACATACTATCATCAGGAGAAGTTCGGAAAGATCCAAGACAAAGTCTTAGACTTTGGTGGTGGATAGAATCAAGTAGTTTCAAGTTACTTTTACAGGCTCCACCATATACGATGGAGCCATAATCAAGTTCGGATCGGATTAGTGATCTGTACAAATGAAGGAAGGTAGTTTGATCCCCTGCCCACTTTAAATTGGACACGACTTTTAATAGATCTAATGCCTTCAGGCATTTGGTCTTCAAGTACTTAATATGTGGTAAAAAGGTCAAATGTTTGTCGAAAATCAGTCCCAGAAACTCGGCTTCCTTTACAACGTTAATTGGAGAGCCATCAGGATCACTTCAGGATCTTTATGAGGCTTATATTTCCGACAAAAATGTATACATGGTCTCAAGTGACCATTTATGAATTTTATTTAAACAAATCTGTAATTGTCTCTCGATGGTATACATATTTTTACCACGACATGAAACGTTAAAATCATCCACAAACAATGACCCATCTATTGAGTCATTTAATACTTTTGAGAGACTATTGATTTTAATGCTAAACAAAGTAACAGACAAAATACTGCCTTGTGGAACCATCTGATCCTGATTATAATGGTCAGACAGGGTTGATCCAACACGAACTTGAAATTGTCTGTCTGCTAAAAACTTTGATATAAAGTGAGGCAAATGGCCCCTCAAACCGAAGTCATGTAAATCTCTTAAAATACCATGTTTCCATGTTGTATCATAAACTTTTTCTTGGTCGAAAAAGCATGCATGATCCCGGCCAGGCTTAGGTATTGGTACAACAATGGCATGACGCCACGAAGAAGGAAAATGCCCTGTTGTCCAAATATTATAAAAAATGATCAGAAGGGTTTCAGGACATGCATTGGGTAAATGTTTCAGGATCTGATGTTGGATATTATCAGCACCTGTTGCCGTATCATGAGCTTGTGCTAAGGCAGTATTCTGCTCATGTAGTGAAAATACTTCATTATTATCTTCACCATTAGGCTGAATCAAATCTGGAGCATTGACAAACAATTCTGATTTCAAGTTGTCAGCATGGCGTCATTAAAATTCCACCTTGTTGTAGGTGGGTCATCATTCGGGATTACAGCTGAAAGTATGGTGGGGAAATGGTCACTTCCACACGGGTCATCATGGACTGACCATTCGAATTCGTTATAAATATTTGGATCTGTGATCGACAGATCGAGTTCAGAATAAGAATAAGTAAATATGTGACAAATCCATCATTAAATATGCATACATCATTGTTTGAAATGAAGTCCTCAAAAAATCTTCATTTAATGTTGGTTTCGGTACTTCCCCACAGAGGGTTATGTCCGTTAATATCACCCATGATTATAAATGGTTTAGGAAGCTGGTCAAAAAGATCCTGAAGGCCAGACTTCTGAAGATTTGAAGACGGAGAAACATACAAAGAACAAAGTGTAAAGGTTATTTGTAAAGTCAGACGGACAGCAACAGCTTGAAGATTGCTGTTAAGAGTAACCGGGCTATGGATAACACCTTGCCTCACGAGAATAGAAGCGCCGCCAGTTACTTTATTCAAAATTCTCAGTACTTTTCAGGTATATCTCTTGTAAACTAAAAGCCGATGGTTTAATATCTTGCGATAATAATTGTAGATCATTAAAATGTTCCTAAGGCCTCTGCAGTTCCATTGTAGTAATTTCATAAATCAAATTTAAGGAGGTTCAACTGGAGATCGTGAGCGCATGGAACTGCAGTTCCTACACCCTGTATGTGAGTGAGTGATCTCCATATCAAGTAGGTCAAATGGATTTTGAACCGTCACAGGAGGTGTCGACGAAGGAGACTCTTCCAAATGTTGAAGAGCTCTGGTCTTTCTTCTCATTTTTATCTTTTCCTATTTGACAGGTGGACAACACTCTCTGTTGCCTGTGTTGAATTAATATCATCTGGCTGTGGTTCCTCAGTCTGGGATGCTGATGAGTGTTGACAATCTTGTGATATTGAAGTATTGTCACTCAAGTTAATCGGAGTTGCATGTACCCAGGATATGACAGTCTGACAGGAAGTTGAAACTGTTTTTTTAATAGATGTCGAAACAGAAGAAGAATCTGTCGCCGAATGTTTGACCAATAGAAGAGTTTGACTGAGCCTTAACTAATTTCTTCGCCTCAAAGTACGACATGTTATTCGCGCATTTGATTTTGAGAATTTGGCTTTCATATTCAAACTTTGGGCAAGATTTAGACGAAGCCAGATGCTCACCACTGCAATTTGCGCACTTGATGTTACCAGTGCAATCGGTACTGTCATGGGTTCCACTGCAGCGTGAGCAGATAGACTTGCCAGTACATGATCTTGCACCATGGCGAAACTTTTGGCAATTATAACACCGGAGTGGATTTGGTCCATATAGCTCCACTCCGATATTACAATATCCAGCCTTAATAGATTGAGTAAGTATAGTCAGACCAAAAGTGAAGAGGTAAGTGTTTGTTTTTATCACGTTTTCTTCAGACATATCTGATAAGCAACGCGACCTGTCTCTTACAATACCTCTTCAAGTGTTCAGTGTCTTGTGAACCGAGACAACGACCTGTTTGTTAACAAACTGCTGCAATCCCAGCAGATGAGCAGATTGCTATCGTCGTATACATTCTACCAAAAGTGAACCGTTTCGGAGGCGAGTGAAACCACCCGTCTAGGTGAAGTAAGAGACGAAGTGGTGTGTTGGGCAACAGGAACACATGGTCCTGGTTCCAGTGCCCTCAACCACTAGACTCCTGTCCTTCGCCGACACAGGGGCGCAACCCACTGCAAACAGGTTGCCCAATTCGGTCTAAGCCAGCAATGGGGGTGCTGTGGACCAATTATACCCCGGGTCCACATGGGGGATTGAAGATCTCTTAGCAGCCACCACGAGGACGTGGCTCTTCACGGGTGCCTCATATAAGTATAAATGTCAAGCTGAGCTGCTGTTGATTACTGACCAAGCCTGTTTGTTCAGCCTGCTTTTCTCTTCGAAATTATGTGTCGTTGACTATGCATTCATAAATGATGAAATATACTTACCGAACCCATAATATCCGTAATGGTGGACACTGAAGTATATACCATCAGAGAGTACATTAAGTCCTGCTTCCTAAGGCGAGACAATAACATAAATTAAAAGTACATTTTTCAGTGAATGATATATTCTGGACAATTATTTGTGCATAATTTAATGAATCTCGAATCAACTGTATTGTTAAATCTTTTCATGTCATAATCAACTTATCATACTTTCATTGCCCCACAAAAATTTAAAATTATAAATGAAGACTTCATACATAATTTTGCGCCGATAAAATCTCTGAAATTTCTCTGGGAGCTTCACTATATACATTATGACCGCTGCGAAAATCATCTGAAACTTCAAGATATGAGGCTTATATTTTCCTTCAAATATGGAAAACGATACACTCTTGATTTTGATCTATTTTATAGATAAAGTTAACTAACAGACATGAAACATGTTCATAATATGTCATATAGGACAAACAAAATGTGATAAGACATGAAAATTGTAAGTAAATATTTCGTGAAATAAATACAGTTACTAAACTACCACGTACCGAGAAGACATCATCTGGGCGTGGAGAACTACACATACTGGGTACATGAAATTCTGTGTCAGTTTGTCTAGAGCTGTATGTCTTTAGTTCATCAGCAACCTGTACAGGAAAAGTAAGCATTTACTGGTTTATATAACTAGTGTTAAATTTCAAATTTCCTAAAAGTGAAAGTCTTCTCCACAAGAAGAATTAGAACATGTCTCTTCTATGAATGGTTCCTTGTCTGTAAGGGTACAGGACAGCCACATTGGTCTTCGACAAACTAATTCCACATACAGATGTCCCAAACGTGTTGTGATCCGGCACTGAGACACTTTTATCAGCACAGTGCATTGACATCGGTCAAAGGGACAAACTGACTTGGTTGAAATATTCCAAAACCAACATAGCTATATGGTCATATTGCTTTTACAGAAGAATTGTCATTGTGAAATCTGATTTATGTAATTACTTGTATACGCTAGCATTTCATTGTGTTGCTGGTTTGTTTGGGGTTGTCCTTCAATCTGATCAGTACTCATTCATCAACACATGTTTCATGCATTTTCTAATGCATAATATCTATATATGCAAGGCAGTGATCCTTTTAAAAAAAGTTTCTAGTAATTAATGTTGCAAAGATACGAAACTACGTGCTCTAACCTGCTCTGTGGTAATGTCATTGCCGGACTTGAGAAGAAGAACACTTTGGTCGACAGCAAGGACATTGACAGATGACATTGGATCAGCGCTAACCATGACATCAATGTTGTCATGAGGCATGGAGTCGTTCTTGCTGAAGTCAATGGACACCTGAAATAAAGGATCGGTTTACTTTGAAGTGATCATGTGGAAAATGCGTTATAGCTCAGGATGGACACCTGAAATACAATATTAGTTAACATTGAAGTGATGAAGTGGAAAGTATGTTATAGTAGAGGATTACCTCACCACCCATTGTTTATCTGACTAAATACCACATTTTACCTTGTTGTCAAAGACTTCGTCGACACTGGAACTAAGACTGTCAGCAACAACATCACCAGATTTCCTGACGTAGTAAGCGATGATGTGAGCTTCTGGGGCCATTGCTGCAGATATGGGGACATTGAAGTGAACAGGGTTTTGTCCTCCAACAGCAACTTGGTCAATAAGGACAACAGTACCCCGGGATAGCACCTATAAACACAATAATATCTGTTCTATAGTCTGTTAAGTACAACTTGTGAATGACACTTATGTGATTAGACAGTATATCCTCGACCTGAATCCAGCTTTCCATAGGTGACATTGAAATATTACATTCTGTATTTCCATGGACCCTAGTACGGTGATCTACCTTTAGTTGTTGGCAATGAATAGCCCATTTTTACATGGTATTGTCCAAAATAGTTGTCTACATTTTAAGATATATGCCAGCTAGTTTTAACCCATTTTGTGATAATGTAGTCATTTTACTGTCCGTCGTTGACAGGGTTTTATAAATTATGTGTATTTATCATGAATATAAAATTTGTTTTACTCACGATATGGCTGAAATATTGCCGATGTGACTTTAAATCTTAACTCACTCACTCACTTTCTGTATTTCGAGTTTCGATGTTACGTTATTTAAATTATGTGCATGTGATGGAAATATGAAGGTATTCGTAGTTAATTTGAATTGTTAAAATTGCAGAAAAGAATTCACCTGTACATGATATATCTAAAGTCCAAGTCTGCGTGAATGATATGTCATCGTTTGAATGTTCAGTCAATGCCACACAAACACATCCTGTTTCATTTTCTTCTGTATTCAGGTTAAAATGATTCAGACTCTGTTTGTAATTGTTTACCAGCAGATTACCTGGTATGTTATGAAAGGTACATCTTCTGTCATCTCAATGCTGAACATAGCCGTCTGACCCGCCTTAAACAAATCCAAGACATTTTGCAATAATGCATATTTTAATAAATTACAAGAAACTGAGAAAAACGTCGACAATTAATCAAGCCCTTGTTAAATGATATTAACCCCAGTTAAGTTCGTATTTCACATTAAAAGTTCATGCATACTTATAGTGTATTGTTGCCTACCCTGAGCCCCTTGCTGGTGAGTGTGAGCTGCAAGAAGTTGCCACTGAAGGACATTTTCTGCAGGACAGATAAAGTGTCGGATGCCTCATTGTAGTGAACCTGAAATGAATATTGTTGTGAGCATTTATGACAGAAAACATCAAGTATATCACATTTCAATTCTGGTTGGGATCATGCAATTGTCAACAATCAAATGCAACATATGGTGGGGGTGGATAATTATATTTATGGGCATTGTAATTATAACCAAAAGATTTTTTGTTATGTTTTCATATCCAACCTTGACGCTAATTCTAGTGGTGTTCTCAGGGATGCGCAAATCCACGGGGATGATGCCGGAGGCTGGGATGGTGTAGTTTTTGGGTGGGAGGCCGTAGTTGCCGGTGAAGGATGAGTAGGAGAACTCGGACTGGTCATCTTGGACAATACGGTATGTGACACAGGTGTACACTCCCACCGGACTGCTGAGGTCTGTCACAGGGCGACCATCTTGTTGGGACACCTTGATCTGTTGTGTAATGTGGACATTGAAAATAGAGCTAAATATAATATATTGTATAACTTACATCTAAAAGTGAAGTATTTAAAGGTTTCGAGGACTTTCAATCGTCACTTTGTAGGTATGCTATCATATTTCAACTCACATATGCCGTATATGGAAGTTTGGGTGAGAAAGTTTTCGGACTTGAGTTGAGGACTTCAATCTTGTAGGGATATTGGTGGTATTTCACAGAGCTGGACCCGTTCAGCCTCACGCCCGTCAACTCCTCCTTCACGATGGCGACAACAACGACGGTTTGTTCATTTAGATTGCTCTGGAGACGCTTGATATCGGCAACAGGAATGTCAAATTTGGCTTCCCCGTCAATCTGTTAATTTTGATCAAACACAATATATTATTCATGATTCTGATTTGTCTTGTGGACAAAACTTTTATGACTGATATTGGCCTTTTCGCACTTTTTAGATGCCTGGCGTTACAAAATACATTATTTGTGCAGGTATTTGACAATTTCATCAGAATGTAACTAAACTGTTTCCCCTTTCGAAATTTTCTTATCTATTATCTTTGATTCGAAATTATAATTTCAAGTTATGCTATACGTACTCTGTATCACAAACAAAGAGCAAAATGGATCGTTCACATGAATAGAAGGTTTATCTAAAATTTCACCAATTCATTTTTTTTATTAAAATGGGGATACGGGTAATCTCATAGTTTGTCAACCTACGGGAAATGCCAGTTCGACATATTTGGGAGGTCTTCCACAGTAGTCGGTAGCGACATTCATGTATGTATGTAACTCCACCATACCCTTCACTGGTTGTCCAAAGGTGTATCTGTAACAGAAATGCAGATATTTTTTCAATGTAGAAATGGAACTGGTATGTACAGGTAAAACGACCCAATAACCAAGGTTACATTTAGCAATATGAAACCACAATATGTTGTACTCTGAGAGATGTGAAATTCAAACAAGGATTTGATGAAATGTCTCACTTTGCTTTCACTGTTCCAGACATCTTTGTATCGGAGGTCAGGGAGAACGAAGGAAGATCAACTTTGACTTCAAAGCGGGGCAGTTCTAAAACCAGAAACATCAATTTGGATGTCAATGTTAATATCTTACTGAAAACTACATGCTCACATATATGAAAAGTGTCGTTTTTTAAACACATCAATCCCCTATCTTATTCCGATTTGCGCATTTGTTTTACCTCTCTGAAATTAGTTAAGCATTAGTTTAAATTGTTAACAGAAGAGAACAATACAGTCATACTTACGGTATTCCGCAACTGTAAAATTTTTAGACGTTACACTTACTTGGTCCTGAATAAAAAACCACATTTTCATCTGAAAATGCTTCAGAAGAAGCAAATATAAATATGAATGCTATTTTCAAGGCGTGATGATATATATTTAACGACGCACTCATCAATATCCGTGCAATATGAAGGCATTCTGTAAATATACTGGACAAATAAGTTAGGGATATTGGTATTTTTGTAATTGATATTATATCAATGTGTCAATGAATCCATACATCATTATTCATAATTTCAATATATCCCTAACTATTTTTGTCCAGTATAATACTGTCTGGACAAGACAATCACACCGTGAGCATCGATCTTCGCCAGTGGGACACATAACATGAGTAAACTAAGTAAGCGAGTCCGATATCGTCCCGTTATTCCCCTTTTCCAACAAGCATGGGTTACTGAAGATCAATTCTTCACGCATGTTCACAAATATGTAATGGCAAGAAAATTAACAAAAAATTCTTGATGTCCATGAATGCCATTTGTGATGCATTGACGATACTCAGTAACTCATGTATGATAATCTGAAGAAGCTTTTTATCTTCAAAATTCTGTAGACCAACGCATTTCTATGTCGGCCACTTGATGTGGGAGCTACATAACCAAGGGTGACTTCAGAATTATATATCTGACAGTTCAGTGGTCTTTCAAAATATGTTTGAGAAGATCTTTAAATGCAATTTACAGTCCTCAGACAAACAGTCCTGAAAATACTGGTGTCACACTATTTTCCCCTTCTTAACCTTGTTCGTAGCACAGCAACACCTTTTTGAAAATTTAACAAATGACAATTAAAGGTGTTGTTTCTTATTCTAGGGGACAATTATATAGGCATTAAGAAGGAAATGGAGACAAATCTATCAGAATTTCTGTATGTTGTGCATATATGTTGAATTTTTAGGTACGGCAAAAGAACCAGTGTGTTAAGAACAACAATTTTGGTATTTTGTGGGCAAACGTAATGTTTCGATGTTTGGGGGATTCATATTCTACGGTTACAGGGGTGAACTTTCCAAGAATTGAACTAAGAAGGTTTTAGATTCGCAATGACCAATCATTTCAAAGGTAACCAGTCACAGAATCCTACGTGCTGCAAAATAATTCTAAGACAGGGACATAACGTGTGTCTAAAGATTAATAAATATAACCAACTGCTGGTGAAACTCGTAGAGCCCAGTCTCCCAGAACAGTCTTATCTGCCAACTGGAACTCCCCAGCCACAACTCCAGAAGATTCATGGAGAGCCGCCCACTCCTTCAGGATATTGTTGTTTGGATCCTGTAGTATAGATTAAAGTTCTTTATCTTTGTCATGTGCACTTACAATTCACTGACAAAATTCTATATTTCGAAAGAAATTGTTCCAGAATATTAAACAACAACCATGTAAGGTGTATAGTTATGCAGTTGCCCCTATTTATTACATGATTATGTGTCAGTTATGATATTGTATTTCAAACTTACAACAAGGGATATGTCGAAACTCCCTGTGTACACTTGCAAACTTGGGTACACACCAAACGCTCGGAAATGAACTGCAGCAGAGAAAGAATAATCACTAGTTCAGGTGCTTATTAATATTATGGATAGCATGCCTGTCTAGTGTATATCCAACCTGAAGCCAAGGCAAACCGAAGGATTCGCCAGTTACACGTGTTTATACAAGCAAAATATCATCTTTCGAGTAACATGGCTTAAGAGTAGTAAAAAGACAAAGAAACTGATGACTTTATAGTGCCATAAATTGACATCAATTTTCCGCTCACCCATCTGTCCTGGCTTGTACAAGGCCTTGTCGGTCTGTACCATGACAGAAATATACTTGGAACGGAGGAAGAGGGACGTTTCTCGTTCAAACTGCAGAGCTCCGCTACCTCGGACATGGAGACGGTAACTTCCATCAGTGATGTCCCTTGGCACCTGGAGACAGAATATACTGGTTGATATGTAACATGAAGATGAAGATTAAAACATTTATATGGTTTCGCATATATCTCTGTGTATAAAACTGTTGCTATTGTATTACATATGACATTATATAAGTAAGGTGTGCACTCCCACAATTGTCATCTCACATTACATCAAATTCAGCAGTTGTCTAAAGATCACTTTTCACTTGAGATTTATGAAGCTCACTCTCTATTCTCACTATATTGCTATAATCCCTCCTTTGTACCATAGTACCATTACATTTGTATTGTTTTTGTAATTCCTTTGCAGTAAATTATACTGAGTTGTAAAGTTAGTTCATTTTAGAATACAGTAGTGAATTGTGCAATATTTCCTGTTGTTTTATTGATCTGACACCACTGACTGATTTTGTATACTTACATTCAGTGATATCGTCCCAGTCGTTCCTGAAATGCAAGATGGAATAAGTGCTTAGACATGATTGTTTTTCTCAGCCAGTTAGTTTCGATATGAATATATCCAGTCGAGAGAATTTGCTATCACGGTCAAAGTGCAAATTTAATTGGTTGGAAACTTCAATTTCATAAGGACAGTGACCTCTGGTGAGAGATTTCTACAACGGACAAAACACGACCGATAACTAACAAAAGTGCGAACGAACCGGCCTTAACGTGATTTCACATTTTCAGACAGTTTTCCTTTAAAGGATAGGTTGCACTGCCACACTAGAATCAACCACAGTTAACGCTGTATGATGTCTCACCTTTAGTAAAGTCGCCTTTGGCCATCATAACAGGGATCCTGAAAGAGTTGGTGTAGTTGTGCCATATGCGTTGCAGCTCTACTTGTACATGGACGGTGTTGGTGGTGTTGAGGATGTCGATGCTGACGTTAAATGGCATCCCACGTTGCAGATACTTGGAGGACGTTATGAGATACGACCCTCGGGAACTAGAATAGCAGTAAAAGTGAACCAGTTTGCTAACATAAACTGAATATTCTCTGGAGCTGTCGATTTATATTTACTACAACAGGCGGTACTCTTGATGTCAATGACTGATTGTCTGGTCCCGACTGTATTATTCACAGGCCAGCCTCGTGGAATATTGCTGAGTACGGCATTAGACAACAAACAAACGAACCTTTCGGCCGTGGTGAATCCTATTCCGACTACTAACAGAAGCCACAGCATGATGATACTGAAAATTGAAAACAGATAGATATCCATAAATTCCGAACATTAATTACAGCATCAATGCAATAATCCCCGCACAGACTGAGGGTCCAGACAAAATTTGAATTCAATAATACACTCGTGGTTGTTATCTAACTAGAACCAGATGTTTACACTATAAGGCAGCCTACCCATCCAAAGTGGCAGTATCCTATTGTACGTGAAGGTCAGGGTCGATGTGCATTGATAACTGCCCAAAACTTGAAAATAGATCTCTTCATGTGTTAGCCTTTTTTGACCGATTACCATCTGTGACATAAGTTGTCATGTTAAATTTGCCGAAAGTGCATCTTAAAAACGGGTCAGTGTTTAGTTACGGTGCCTGTGAAGATTCAGGCTGGTACTCTGGTTTGGCAGTCCTTGGTGTCCAAAGCCGCTAAGTGTCATCGTATCAGACATGTTTTGTTCAGACAATATTATTTACAGAAAGCCGCCATGTAGCTTCAACATCACTTAACAAAAACTAAACAAACACATTATACAGTCATTAGACGCGATGGACTAGAACATAGGACATTGTAGCGATTATTTTATATTCCTGCCAAACAAAGTCTTCAAGGATAAGCTATGACACATTGTATAACGAAATTAAAGATTGTCACCTCTATTTCCTGGAACAGTATATATTTCATAATAATCAAAAACAAAAGCACAGTTGAGTGGACAGCCCTTTTTCTATGTAATCTGAAGAACAGAGTGCACATGCACAAGTCCTTATCAGCACTGGGATCACGGCTCTTTGTTTCTGCCTGTGCAGTGTATATTATGTAATATTTCATACCGTTACTATTACTTGATGAACAAATGGCAGTTTGGATACTTCAAACAAAACTACAGAAATGAAGATGAATACTGTTTTTAACGTTGACAACCGAAGAATGAATGTGTTTGTATTTCATGTTTATAAACTTCTTGACTTTGATTCGATGGTTTACAGGTTGGCATTGGCTGACAGAAGTACTGCTGTGCAGCATAGTACGATAATAAATATATACTTACTTTAATATGAACATTTCGCGGTTGCCACAGCAGTGCAGGGCATGGTTTTCCTTTGTCCGGACATTTGTCATCGCTGAGTTCAATTATCCTTTCAGATAATGTTTCACACATTTGGAAGTGTTAGAAAATATTCTGTTTTAAATGACGAATTTGATGAATTCATCACATTAGTTGAAATATTTCCTTATCAAGGGTTATAGTCACAGAAAATAGAGGACACAAAGGAGGGTGCTTGAATGTGGTCAATAATGAAAAGTAAGAACGTGCCTAATGTACAACGTTACCTTTGAGCCACCATTTTGCGTTAGGTTTGGAAATACTAAACCTCGGCAACATGCTCAGAATCAAATTTAGAACCCAAACGTAGCTTCACTGTATGTTTGCTGATATACATTTACTCAGCCAGCTCAGATAAACAATGATGGTGTTTCGCCAACTTACCGGATCGCGTACTGCTGAGGAGACCCGTGTCTGTCAGGCGATTATCTTTCCCCACTACATATACCTGGGAATTATCTCTCTTATCTGTTCAAGTAGGCGTATTTGCTAAATATGGGTTCACAAACAATCACCAAAGCTTACTTAGACTTAACACCTGGCAGTTACACAGTTACTTTGGTGAATGTATTAAAAATGCATCAGAGTGATTCTGGAAAGTTTGCTTAATTGCAGGTATTTCATTGTCAGTAGTTTACATGAGTATATTTAACATGTTGAGGCGATGCAATGTATCCAAAATCATCATACACTCGTACAATAACAATCATCGTACGTACAATAATCATACGTTGGTACCCTGTATTGCTCAAACTACGGACACAGTGAGTGATTTTGCTGTTTGAAATGGGTGTGTACATGGATACACCAAAAGCTATTACGAGTATGCACGATGAAATTAAACATTCGTCATAACCTTTTGACCGGTCACCATGATGGGTGCAGATCTAAAAATATTGGAATATCTGTGTCTTTTTACTCTTTCTTTTGTCATACTATGCAATTGATAGAGTGACTCTAGGGGGTTAAATGATGACAATTCATACTGTCGTCTTCCTAGCACACTCAGCTTGAAGTACTGGTGGCCCATCGTCTGAGGAGCCGAAGTTAACAGTGTGAAGATTAATCTGTTTGACACGTTCGCACCGATCTACTATCTGTATCACTTCGTGCTTTTGTAACACACTCATTCATTTACTCGCATATCAAACTTCGAGATGGTTCTCAAAGATCTTCAGGTGTAAAAGCTGGTAAAAAAGTTAAATAATCTGTCAGATTGTGTCAAAAGGTCAGAGAAGATATTTGTGTTTGGTGTGTATTAATCAGAATGGCGAGAAACAAATATATGATGCAATTGTTGCAATAGCTATTTATGTAGTCATGGTTGTGTTCGTTTAGATAGCTTTGATTTTCTTACACACATATATCTAACATACTAACTACAACTGAGCCAGGTTTAAAAAACGTCCCAGAAAGACAAATATATTTTCATCAAGAAAAAGGCCATACTTAATATTAAATATTAGATCACGATAAAGTCTTGTAGACAAACATCATATGTCTGTAAAGCTTAATACTAGTCATAAAGTTAGCCACACGCAGAAGCTCCATTCACTTGAGTACGGAAACCATTCCTGATTTCGACATTTTGGTAAAGCGCAGGTAAACATGCAGCTCATGATCATCTCCATATTCGCTTGCACGCCCCGTTCAAATCGCCAGTTTGCCAACAGACATCAAGTGTGTTTAAAAATCATAGAAACTCGGATAACCATCCTGGTCCTGCTTTACTTTGCACATCCTTCATAGGCATGTTCAAAATGAACGTTAAACCAATGTCTTTTGAGACCTTATAACAGCGTTGGTGGCGGCTGGCTCATGGTGTGTGTGGTATAAGTTTGACTGTTGACTGAATCCAGCTCCACATTGTGTAAAGAAGGGTCTTTGTTGTACCGATTGTGAGGTGTGTGGGTAAACGTTTTCTCTTTCAGGAGACAATAATATAATATTAATAATAATAAGGTTGATGAAAGGACAAGACGGATGGCTTCAAATTTCCATCAGTCATCTTTTCCTTTATTCTTTGTACTATTTATTCTAACAAAAACACACTCTCATAACATAATAAGTAAGTGTGTTTTTGTTAATTACGTATTCACACTGATTAACTTCATTATTATGGAGTTTATAGGGCAGAGTATGCGTTTTTGAGGTACCTCCTCTTAGTTATGCTTCCGGTTTGCTGCTTCGGCGTAAGACTGTGGCATTCATTCGAGTGAGTTCTACATGATAGTGTTGCAGTGAGGCATAGCTGCTGCTAGGATTCTCGAGAACAAGAATCAAGTTATTATTTTATATCTGTGACCCAATATGTTAGATTTGTGGCCCAATAATATTGCATTAGAAATCTGTATTGTCAAATCTCGAAATGTCCTCAATATTTCTACCATATTGCTTTGCTGAAAGAGCATGCTCAGCTTTACTTCAGTATGTATGACAGGCAGACACTAAAGGCTGGAACTCCTGGAATATTGCTCAACGTAAAGGGAAAGTTGATCAAGGAAACGTTCACATCACCCCTTTTGTCATTTATCATGGGACCCTCTATTATCGCGGTAGTTAATGTTGTCGCCATCGGGATTATGAACGGCTACTGACATTTAGCATTTTATATATATTTTCAGTTGACTGATGTTTAATCCTCATTTCTGTCACAAATAATGTGACACATGGTCGCAACTCGTTTAATACCATTGCGGCAATTCCGATTGTCTCGTTTGACCCGGTAACTGAAGCAACTCTCTATTATCGCGGTATTGCGCTTTTCTTACTATGGCACGCAAGACAAGCAGATGACACTGTTAAACGTTTACTAAGACAAGTAACGAATCTAAATAGTTTGATCATTAAAAAATATTTAGGAATTTCATTCACATTAGTAATATCATCATGCTTTTAACCCAAACATCGGAAACTTCTATTCATTTGGATACAAGGTAACAATAACGTTACAAAATATTGTTTTTCCCGCTTAAAACGTACCATACAAGTCGCTGCCGTGTGCAGAGTGAAGTTGCATAATACGTCACTTCCTGTTATATTTTTAGCACGGAAAATATGCAAATGACCTTAAAGTTGTCGCAGGATTGCTCTTGATGAAGTAATATTTAATTCATGCTAGATGTAAGGGCAGTAGGGGTCATACTAGTTTCAAAATGTTCTAGAACTTACTGAAAAGATTAATGCTTTAATATTTTTCCGATTACACATAACATTCCAATGAAATAAATGACTTTTTCAAGAGCGATGAGTATATTTTACGTAATTTGCATATGTAAACAGCCGATGCGGGGCGTGGTGTTTCTGCTTTCCCGATGTTTTCGCGTGACGCGATAATAGAGAGCCCGCGATAATAGAGAGTCCCAGTATACACGGTAATGTACATAGTTCCTTGTCACTCTGAATCTTCAAACATCCACTCCAAATACAACTTGAGGAATCTTGAACCGTATTCCACCATTTTTTCTTTATCATTAAAAAAAATCTAAAACACTCAAGCGTTGATGGAATTATTTATTCTCATTTTGCATAAGACTTTTAATGTTTCTCCTTTCCTCTTCACAGTTGTCTTCAAATCTGAAAAGATAATTCAAATGATACAAAAGAGATCCTAATAACATTCGTGTTCAACAATCAAAAGAAGGAAAGGTGTAAAATATTGACTGACATGTATACAATTGATATCTGTAAACGGCAGTTTGATAAGTCACTTAGGACATATGCATGAACGTAATAGAATATACATTTACGGACTGACTGACTGACTGAGTTTGGTTTTACGGCGCTTTTAGGAATATTCCAGCAACATCACGGCGGGGGACACCAGAAATTGGCTTCACACATTGTACCCATTTGGGGATTCGAACCCGTGTCTTCGTCGTGACGAGCCAACGCTTTAACCACTAGGCTACCCCACCGCCCCATACATTTACGGAGATGGCAACTCATTCACCGACCTGGTTGCAACACTTGTCACACACATCACAAATTGTAGCTTCCTTGAGACTGCGAGTTTCGTAGAAAGTGGCACCTTGGTTACCTACAAAGAAGGATAACGTCAAATATCTGCAAAAAACTCTTTATAACTAAAAATATAACTATAAGATATAATGTTATAGATACATGTCCGTATAACCGACAAGCAATTTTGATCCGTTTACAACTGCTAGGCCATTTCTGTGTTATTGCGTAATTCACATACAGCAACACGGGTCAAAGTTACAGACGTTATCAACACTTCACGTTTGAATTTCATACTCACTGGGCTGGTAGTAATCGTAGACTGTGACGTAGCTGGGCTGGTTGTTCGTCACCATACCGGTTCTGGTGGACAGGATGTCAAAGCAGATAGACGTTGTGCCAATCTTTGGAAAGAAAATGGAATGTACATTGTGTATGCACTATTAGATTTCATTTTCTATGCAAAATATTCAGAACGTCAATGCAAAAGAATACCCAATCTTGACTATCCTCAGAAACAAATTACATATGGTGTAAAGTCAAAATAGCTGTCACAAAAGTGATGATCATGCAATATATACTTACAGTTTACGAAACAATGAACACTAGCTATTAAACATGAAGTGATGTACAGATGTGGTACTGCTTTCAGTACCACGGAAAAGTACAAAGGCCAAAGGGAAAGGATTAGACTAACTGAAGTAATTTGAACAGAGAAGGACGAAGCTTTTTGACGGATTTCATTTTCCATACAAAATGATTAAAACGTCAATACAAAAGAATACCCAATATTCGCTATACTCAGAAATATATTCTATATGGTGTAAAGCAGAAAATAGTTGTGACTTAGTGTTGACTATTCTATACTAACATTTTAGAGTACGAAACAATGAACACTAGCTATTAAACATGAAGCGATGTTCAGATGTCGTACTGTTTTTGGTACAATGGAAAAGTTCACATGCCAAAGGGAAAGGATTAGACTAAGTGAAGTAACCAGCGAGCTATTTGAACAGACATTGATTAAGCTTTTTGACGGGAGTTATTTAAAACAGACGATATCACTTTTTATGGAATGATATTCCTGATGTCATTTTACGACAAGACTGAAAGACTCAGTCAAATCACGAAATTACTCATTCCAAAGACTCACCATAACCCATACTCTATTAGATTCCATTCTAAATGTAAGTACATTTATGGGTAAAGCACTGCGGTATAACTTTAACTTTAAGAATCTTGGAACTGAAGTCAAAACGTAACAAACCCACCTCATCAAAGTATACAACCACGATTCTACCACGTCTTTCAAATCTCTTCAGACCAGCAACGTTGCCCATTGAGGTCATATCTGGATCAAAGCCTGATGGGATAGATATCTCCATCACTGTCATTCCACTGGAACCTTCCTTCAGCCATCTTGAGGTGAAAAAAGAGGAAAAACGCATATTTTATGAGTGGCGAAAAGACTGGTCAAAATGACATAGCTTTAAAATTCACCTGAAGCCTATCAACGCACTGTTCTACTTTCATAATCCAAATACTGTATCATGTCAAAGGTGAGTGAGTGAGTTTAGTTTTACGCCGCACTCAGCAATATTCCAGCTATATGGCAGCGGTCTGTAAATAATCGAGTCTGGACCAGACAATCCAGTGATCAACAACATGAGCATCGATCTGTGCAATTGGGAACCGATGACACGTGCCAACCAAGTCAGCGAGCCTGACCACCCGATCCCGTTAGTCGCCTCTTATGACAAGCATGGGCTACTCAAGGCTCATTGTAACCCGGACCTTCACGGGTGTATCATGTCAAAACAGAAACAGATGTCAATATTAACAGATATCGCTTACATAACCGAAATAGTGTTATTAATTGTGTTCTCACTTGGTGCAGGTCATCAGTCTGAAGTTGTTGATGGTGTCATCAAGCAGCACAGTGTTAATGTCAAAGGATGGGTCACCGATTTCAGCATCAACGTTGAAGAACACATCCACCTGGAATGGAAAAGCTTGCAGTCAGTATTGAGATACAGCATTTATTGTTCAAGGGATTTGCTCACTATGTATATTAGTCATTCAGTATTTGGGTATTCAGATTTACGTATTGCATTACTTATAGTCAGAGCACTATACTAAAGCCATTGTTTGATACATACATCAGCATATGCAACACCTTTACCAGTGGCAGTGATAGAAATGTCCTTTGGAAATTTCGTCAGCTGGAAACACACCATAAGCTAAAAGCTTTAAAAGAACGAGCTTCAGGGTATAAATACGCAGCATTAATGCTAAGTTAACTCTCTTTTCAGAATTTATCGAGGACAAATTCATAAACAGTTGAACACTTTTTACTCCTTGGCCAAATGTACAGAGCATCAAAATCAGGTAATATCATGCCCCCGGCCTAATCACCCATACTGCATATCTTGACCACGTTGTCACCGTCCATTAGATCATGTGAGTAATACTCATGCATGTGGACACTGTTTCAATGGTAGGGTAAGCTTTGTTTGTTTTCAGTAACCTGCTACATTCTGTGGCTACTTCCATATCAAGACAAATTTTTCGAGGGTGGTAGGCGTCATACTAATTACTCGATGACACTTTAGGGTTGCTGAGAAGAAAAAGATAGCATTTCTAGCAACACACATAACATTTTTTTTCTAGCATTTGGCTTAGGACTATATTATATGTCACCCCTTTAACATTATACATATATTCCAGTTTTGAATCTACCTCTCTTGATTGCAAAACGAGTGCGTTGCTGTCAGTCACAGATATGTGCTGGTTGTCACTTCCGCTCTTGATGTCAACCTCAACTTGGAAACCGGAAGCATGGGCACGTTGGGCATAGTCAGTTAGGGCGTGAAGTGCAACCATTGTGTCCTGTGATACATGAGTATCAATAAAGTAAATATCCTTGAATTCCTGGGTATATCCTTACAATATGAACTAATTATAATTTATCTCAATCAATATTGACAAGATATGCAAATAGTCACAACGGAAGAATTTAAAACAGGTGAGAAAATGTGTGCTTTGATTCCCTTATTGGCCATCGATGTCTTATCATATATTACATGATATCATTTATTCAGTTCCAAATTTATCGACATAGCAATGAATAGCATTGACATTAATGATCACCTAGTACTAATATCAAGCGTCAAGAAACACCTTGAGCTAAAGTAGGGCACCCTGTTCCACAAACCGAGCATTTCTTAATGAAGATTGCATTACGAATTTGGCTTTGGGTAGTGCTACTAAAAGCTAACCGATTCAACACTGACCTGCGTTGAAGAAAAGCCGCCATATGGGTTCCTTTGTGAGGTCAGCCAGTTGGTTATTGGAAGACCTCCTTTGAGATCACCCCGTGCAGAGGATGCCAGAAGGCCATACGCTGTTGTCTGAATGTCATTTGGCTGGGCGCGTGTGTGGGGAGGTGTCCAGTTTGTATAGTAAGTTGAGGAGGCTGTTGTTGGTTCCGTCCAGTGTTTCAGAGTACCTGGTAATTAAGTGCCAATGTAAGAGAATAGAAGAATGAATTTACCACTGTATATGTGCTCTGCAGTCGTGTTTTATAAGAAACATATCTTTTGGCTTGAGTTTATGGTTTAGACAAAAACCGTGAGTACATTATGTTGTCAATGGAACTTTTCATGCATATTGTGTGGCGGGTACGTATATGTAATCAATTCCGGTGGATGATAACGACTGACTATTGTCTTGCACAAACGGTCTATGTAACTATTGTTTCAATTGTTGTGGGTATCAGTTCCAAGATCTACCTTTAACCTCAGCTGCAGCGTTGAGTTTGTTGAAAGTGACATCCGCTACTGAGCTGCCAGCCTCAGACAAGGCGTAGCTGACAATGGCGAGAGTGAAGGGGTCCGTGATAGAGGGAGCCACTGACTCCAGGTAATTCGTGGCATTCACAGTGGCGTTTCCAAGCGTATACTCATTTGTCTGTCATAAAAACATATGTTTTCAAGCTCAATTTCAAGCTTGTTATGCTTCTATTGATTCTAGTGCGATTAAGTGTGTGCACTGTAGAAGCTACATATAGAGAGACTCAGAAGGTTTGGATCCTCTGTAATGTCACTGTTTCAAGGTACGATTATGCAACATCAAACTGATTTTGTTCCATTGAAAATCTTGATATTTAAATAATTTAATGACGGCCAAATGATCAAACGTCTTCATAATTACATGTCCGTAATAAAAACCTATACATATAGCTGTGAAAACTCCTTACACAGAAGTTCCAACAATATTTCCAAATTAAGAAAAGCTTCTTAACTTACATTCCGCTTGTGACATACATCAACGAGGTGTATTTGTGAAATATGTCCTTACACAGAAGTAAAATATTTCCAAATTTAGAAAAGCTACTTACTTTACAGAAGCCAGTTCAATCCTTTCCCTCTTTAGGTTTACAAAGGTTCTTTTTCAGAAATGACAAAGACCGAAAAAGCAATTGTTCACTGCCTCTTTTCCCATGTCAAAGAACGTATGAGTCTATATGATGCTAAACCTTTACCTACCCCATATCCACCAATGTCTTGATTTTCCAAGAAAGCCAGCAGCACCATGGATGTAAGAGAGGCTTTGGAAGTCTGAGGAAACGGAAGAAATATGACCTTCAGAAACTGGACAGGTACCAACTGAGATGTGCGTTGTCAGAAATAGCATTATAGAACAGTTAATATTTCGTAACATCGTGTCAGTACCTGCATCTGTCTGTCAAATACAAGTCCAGGCTCATTGAAGGATCCATCTAAATTCTGTCTCCCTGCCATCCAGTTCAGGGACCTCGCCAAAGTCTGATTTCCCACAAAAATATAAGCCCTGGCTTGATGGAAACTGCGTGCTACAAATGCAGTCAGCCTTTGAAAAAATGAAACAGTTATGCGTTAGACTAAGGTGTGAGTGAGCTTTTGCATAAGTGTCTCTGTTTAATTACTGAGTATAGAACAGTTTATGTGGGAAAAAGGGAAACTCACCACATGTGTCCTGCCTCATCTCGGTCTCCGAAAGGACTGAAGGATCCATCGTGTCTCTGATATGTGAGCTCCCTCTGGTAGCCTGAAAGTAATACAGGTGTTGAGAAACGAAAATTGTAGAAGCAACATAACAATCACAAATAAATCTTTCGGGATCAATGCATTTAGCCACGCCTAATGCCTAATGGTGGTTTATTTCAGAAAAGTAATATAGGCCATAGGCCCAGGTTACACTTTTGAGAATTACAGAGTGGGAAAATTTGTTAAAATGAAGACTGTCTCAGTAACATAGCTTGATATACATATATGCTGATAAATGTTTTGAGATGCTTGCATTTGATGATTGCAGAAGCGTATTAAATTTTGGGATTGTTGGATATTCATAAAAGTGTAAAGGGATATACAGTCGCCGCAATGCTTGATATTTATTACAAATAAGTAAGAAGTGATATTTATCTTCTATGTTTGGCAATTTACAGATATTACATAATCTGTCATTTCTAGCCTCACCAATATACCTGCCAGTTTCTATTCGTAGTTTATGAGACCCCGATCTAAACTGAGCAAGAGCACGTCTATGTTTAAAATAGCTAACTATGAAGATATAAGATTCAACACCGAACATAGGTTTAAACAACATGTATCCAAATGTTTTTGTGCCTTTTATTAGTGCAGAATGCCAGTCCTGTTTATACGAAACTTTGAGTCTACCAAGAAATTCATTCAAAAATGGCGTTTCACTTCGAACCATCTGTTCTTGCCAAACAAATCCAAATCCATAGACTTCTAATATATGCTTTATCCTAGATGCCAAGCTCCTACAACCATTACTTTCCATTTGTACAAGCATGTTATAATATTTCTTTACATATCGCTCATTTGACATTTTCAATATTTTACACCAATATTTAATAGACCTTTTGATTGTATACACATACAATGGATATCTTCCACATTCGCCTAGCACAACATGCGCTGAGGATTTAATTCCTAGAAATCGTTTACAAGCTGCTACATGTATAACTTCTATTTCGTTAACAACATTCAGTCCCCATATTTCTGCACCGTATAATAAAATTGGACAAACTTTGGTGTCGAAAATCTTAAAGTACAAGTGAAAAGGTAATGGCTTAATCATTGACAGTGATCTAAAAATACCAAATAAAACTTGCTTAGCCTGCAGACATACATTTTCTATGTGTTTGGTCCATACTAATGACAGGCTGAATAAAATACCTAGATATATATTTGTACCAGGAAACTCATTCTATTTGTACAACATTATAGAACCATTTTTCATACTTCGACAGTCTTCCACCTTTTTAAAAAAACTCTTACCTTTGTTCTGTCCATATTTACCGGCAGTCATAAGCTTATAGGAAAACAATAATAATAGGCATTCAGTCATAAGATAATTTTACCTAGTTCGAGATAGGTCATGATCCTGGACTCCAAGGCGGGTGTCATTTGCTTGGTTGTGTAAAGGTAGTCTGCAATATATCCATCCGGGGCAAAGGTCATCATGTTCTGTTCACCACATCCGGTGGGTAGAGCCAGTAGGTTCTCCATGTTGTCGAGACTGGCGCCAATGAGGTCACCTGAAATGCAGGCAATGGTTAATGTCCTTTTGAAGAACCTTATCTGTCATGTCTACAAACTTTCATGTAAAACTCAAATATACCCATAGCCCATAAAGCATATCAGTTGCATTCTTTACACCTTTCCCTGTTGTATAATACCTGTCACTTTGACTCTGACTTTCTCTGATCCGGTTACTGCCTCTGATGGAAGTGACAGTGCCACATGTTGGTTGAAGTCAGCGCCTCCTGGTGTCAGCTCAATGAAGACAGGTGTGTTATATTCTTTTGGGATCCCTTCCGCCTGGGATAAGAAAGTACATATATACTATAAACCAATCCTTCCATCCCAGATACCACCTCTGTGATGTAGTAGTTCGATTCCCTGACCACATCAAAGCAACTTTAAAAATGTTACTCATTGTTACTGCTCTCGCCACTGACTGGATGAAACAAGGATTGCAATAATCTACAAGACGACGTTAAACCCAGTTTCACCTCATGTACTCTCGGATCTGAGTAATAGAAGATCACCAGTGCTCCATCTTTGTCATAAAAGCCAACAAGAACGAATCGGATCGCGAGACTTCATGACTTCTTTGTCGTGAGAAATAAGCCCTAGAGGGTTTGCATCGTTAGTCAAACAAGTCATTACCTGGACATTGAGCTGTCTCCTGACAGCATCAGCGGCTAGAGTTGTTCGTGCTGACACCTCGATGTCGATAGATGATGGGGAAGTACACAGTCTGGGGCTCGTTGGATTTGACCTTGAGGACAGAATGATATATTGTGGGAATGTGTGCGACAAATTCATTTAACACTGGTATGACAATAATTGTTGAATATCTGTCTAAACCTGACTCTGACTACCCCGGATCATTCAGTATTGTAAAACATGTAAGATCCCAAATTAACACTGAGCATATATATCCATATAAAACATTATAATCCAGACAGTCTTAGTGCCGGGTTCGGTACTGATATTATGTTGAAGTCGGACAGTTTATTTTTAAGATGAAAATGAGTCCGGATTATTATTTTTCCAGTCTTATTCCCACTTCCGATGAGCTGTGCTTGCAATATTGACAAAAGACCCTCTTCAGCTCAAATGTTTGCCGATATTTGATTTTAATACCTGCTATCTAACAGCTGGAATAGCTCCATTTGCTAAACACTGAAAGTGAATTAAAAAAAAACACTTACTGTGACATAGTGTGTCTGGTCCTTTGATTCCTTGGTAGTTTTACCGGAACTGTCAACCACGACGTTGACGTAGTCCGAAGAAGTAGGCAACGACACTACAACCTATTGAACATATACGTGATATTAACTGTTGCTTATTTTCCCAAGTACCCTTCAGGGAATTTACGAGCTACGAACCGTTACAAGCGTTTTATGCAAAATGAATAATTTTAAACCTTGTTGATGAACTTTGAAAACTGTTAGAAGTAATCCGTAGCTCCCAGATGCAACTATTCTTTATGAGAAAAAGAAGATGAAAGTGAAATAATCCGCTCTGTCAAAACTATTTTGTTCAAAACTTTTCAGAACCAGGATGACCAAGATGGAAGATGTTTGATTTCATGCATTCTGGAAGTGCTGTTCTGAGATGTGTCCTGCTGTGGACAATGAGAACAATAAACAGCTGTCATGTTTGAGTCAACTGAGCAGACACAATGACGCTCAAGGCAATGGAAATAGTTGCATCATTATCCATGTCCTAGTCGGTAATGTAAGACTATCCCCAATCAACACTATAGGAGGTGTGACTGATTCAAAAGACACACTCACGTCCACGTCACTGGGTAGGTAGTTGAAGATACTGGCTTGAATGACGACCTGTTCTCCACGTAACACCGAGGTGGGCATGGACAGGCTCACGAAGAAAGGGCTGAACACACGCAGCTGAAAACGTTGGGCAACGGATATTGTACAATACATTTTTCTATGTCTGGACAATCTGGCACTTTTTGTACAGTTTTTTTTACACATTGGTAATCGAGAAGAAAACGTAATAGGAAATATTGCCTTTAGCAATATAAAAATATTTCGAGGTTTTCATTGAACCTGTTTAACAGAAAGCTGGAACATGACATTGGAAAAACCTAAACTGGACATTTGTAATGAAATGAGCATTGAAGTTCAAGAGTTCAGGAAAAAAGAATTCATCAGAAGCTCAGTAGTTTTAACTTTTAATTACAATTTCTGCACAAACAGCATAACTTATGGCAGTATTGTGGGGTTGTTTGTTTGTTGTTGTTTTTTTTTTTTTTTTTGGGGGGGGAGGGTAAGTATAAACTCATCATTGTACCTTTGTGGTAGATGGGCCACACCAAGACCAGTGGCGGAGTTGACAGCAAAGGCGCTGGCGATCCAGGAAGTGATAGTAGCAGGCACAGTGCTACTGATGGTGGCTTTACCGTCAGCACTGGAAAACAAACAACAAGCTTATTTTAGACGGACCCGTGGCATCCGTAAAATACCTATGAAAGGCAAATTAAGCGTTCATCTGAAAACCCATACAGGCTACAAGTAGAAAGGGGCAATGTTTTGTCCATGGTGCATCGCATTTGGAAATGTCCTCCACATATCCACAATAACAGCAAAGGTTTCGAAACCTTCTTTCATCGGAATGCAGACAGCAGAGGATTGAGGCATCAAATGAGCCGTACATATTCATAACAAATACATACACCTGGTGAACAAAGATGAATTGTGTACTGGTTTAATGACCGGCATGTATAAGATGTCCATATGGGGCTCTCAAGACGTTTGACATGAATTTTTCAAAACATTTTCTAACCCAACCGTCTTGTTGATCCAGAGCCATGTCTCTGGGAATTCTTGTCTGACCCTCTCCACTTCCTTGACCTTCTGACCTTGAACAGCTCCTCCAAAAATGGCATTTGGTCTCATTGCTTGAATGAAAATACACAGATTCAAATATTCTATGATGCATACGTTTTAATAGCCTTTGACAGACATTTAGAATTTGGGAGATATGGCGAGAAAGTTTGTGTGTCTTTGTCAGTCTGAATATTTAAGCACATATATAAATATGAACCAGACTTTGTGGTCTTAGTGGTCTCATGTATATATGTTACAGTGAGTGTCTCCAATGACTGAAATAACCGAAACATACTCTTAAAAGAAAAGTAGGGGAACCTGAACTTTCAATTTGGATAGGAAGTATAAGCGTGAACAAACTTTCCAAAGACAGGCACCACCCCTATACACAATGCATGTGATGCACGTGCACAACGCAGTAGCCCCATACACGTGCATGGGGTGTCATCTCATTTTGAGGGTTTTCAAGAATTTCGATAAATCACTGTAGACCATAATTTTGACAATCATCTTGCATCACACAATTGTTGGTATTGGTTTCTAGACGGTTTTTTGTTTGAAAGTGAAACTCGTACACATGCAAATTTCACGTCATACACCAATCATCTTTCAAGAGCGATTACTGTTCAAACAACAATGGTTATATGGATGTGCAAGTGGTGATGCACTCTCAAAACATTCATTATTATCATACCACAATGATTAATGTTTCAGTCGTAAATTAACAATGAAGTTCCCCTCCTTTTTTAAGAGTATATTTAGTATATTTTCAGGTAGGTTAATAAGGTAGCACTGTCATCGCCGTACATCAGATCATTGCTAGATCTAAAACATAAGTTAAACCTTTCGGCCAAACTGACTTCGGGTACAAACACTTGTATTCACATGCAAAAAGAAAAAGATAGCCCGGAAGTGGGACGCGGTTGTGCCCACGAAAAAGCCCACTTCTTGTCAAAACCTTTAACCCTTAAACTTTAAAGAGATGTTTTCAATGAGAAAGTCCAGCATTTCGGATGGTTTCTCAATAAATGTCAGATGACATGTACTTTCAGTTTGCAGTAGTTGTCCTGAACTAGGTCGTAATAATGAAATATATATTAAATGAGTTCAAAGATAAATTTGATAATATATATATACGTCATACTTACCGAATCCATATGATGGTGCAATGGTTGTACCTGCCAATATGAATCAGACAATGTCACGTATACGGAGCATCAAATGATGACTAGTTTGAGAAGCTCATCCACATTTATCTGCAGGGCGCTGTGGTCGTTTATAACATTGATGACTGTGGCATAAAACAACACAAATATGGAGAAACAACGTCTACTCAAGAATATGTCACGACATATAACTTAAGTCCCAAACTTTAATATGTTAATGTTTCCTCAATTTAATACTAATTCTTTCTGATTGCGTATGCGAGTCGTTAAAGTTGTTCAAGCCTGCTTATTCATCGTGTTTGTCTCTTCGAAATTTTGAGTGATTGACTGTGCACACATAAATGATGGAAACTACTTACCAAACCCATAATACTGGTTATGGTAGGCATTGAAGTACTTAGCATCAGTGAGTACATTGAGCCCTGCGTCCTGAGGAAGGACAGACATAAATATGGTATCCTTCAATGAATGTTTCTGATGTCTTACAGACAATATTTGTAAAGAATTTGATGAATAGAAACTCCTCTTTAATATTGTTCATTTCCCCATAATCAGACTTATCATACTTTTATTGCCTCTCAATATATATATATATATATATACGCACAAAATGTCCAAAATAGTACAGGTGTTCAGTCATAAATATTACATAGATAAATAAAAACAGAATGCCTTCTTCTCCAACATGTTTCGTTCTTTACTCTTCAGGGAGATTGTAGCGGTTACAGTATGACGTCATTACATATATATTGTGACGTCACAATAGGGACAACATTCTAGAGCGACAAGGTCACAGCTTGCAATGGTTTAACATTGGTTTGAACTTGTCTATGAAGTAGTGTTACTTCGTTTTACTTTGTCCGTATTTTGAACTTGATAAAAAGGAAATATTGTAAATTTAACATCGTTTCCTTTCGCACAGACATCTAGATGTTCACTCAGTGGGATACATCGGGTTTCAGGACACTTTATTTGTTGTTTGTGGAAACGAACCCGGGCTCTTAAATTTTCTGATTGACCAATATACTGTTCATTACAGCCTGTGCATGTTATGACATATATTATGTTTTTGCAAGAGTAGTCAAAATTTGTTTGGCATAGAATTCTCGGTGTCTCGTGAAAGTTACAGAGTGTCCTTCAACAATATGTCGACATGTTCCACAGTTACCTCTGTTGCATCTAGACACAGTAGGATTTGATAAATTCTGTTTCTTTAAAATAAATTTGGCTTTTGTAATCAGCGACGACGTATATATTGACAGAAATGTAACACTTTGACGAAATTACATACAGGAGTAAATACATGTGATATGTCAAAATGAAGAGACAAATTTAAAAAACTATGTCGAGGAAATATCACAGTTTTAAACAATGTCACCTACCGAGAAGACATCAGCTGAGCGTGTAGCACTACTAGAAATGGCGAATACTTCTGGTGAGAATTCTCCATCAGTTTGTCCAGAGCTGTACGTCTTCAGTTCATCAAGAACCTGAGCACACAAAAGGAAGCATGTGATGGTTTAATAAGCTATTTACATTCCAAATCTCTTGAAAGTCCTGAACTCTCTTCCATAAGAAGAATAAAAACATCTCTCTCCAATGGCTGCTTGTCTACAAGAATACAGGTCAGCTACATTGGTCAAGGATAAACTAATTAAATGAGCAAAAGTCCCCAAAGACGTCGTTATCTGACAACTCTGAAGTAAACACTGAGATACCTTTATAAGCACACTGAGCTGACATCGGCCAAATGGAAACACTGGCTCATTTGAAATATTCCATATCTGTGTTCTCATTTTTCCGCGTGAAGAAACAATCTGATTGTAAAATCTGATCAAGTTAATTACTTGTATAGATGGCATTTAAATGTATTTTCTGGCTTGTATTTAACGTGTCCTTCCATAAGTACATATATGATTTATTTTGTGAGGCATGAACTATTTGTATATCTGGGACAATGACCATTCTTTTAAAAAGAGGTGCTCTAACCTGTTCTGTGGATATGTCGTTACCGGACTTGAGAAGAAGAACACTTTGGTCGACAGCAAGGATGTTGACAGATGACATTGGGTCAGCACTGACCAAGACATCAATGTTGTCATGAGGCTTAGAGTCGTTCTTGCTGAAGTCAATGGACACCTAAAATAAAGTAGCGTTAGGCCTTGATATCCTGATGTCGATAATGTGTCATTGCTCAGGTCAATTCATCACCATCACAATGTGACTAATATGTATATAACTACATTTTACCTTGTTGTCAAAGACGTCGTCGACACTGAAACTAAGACTGTCAGCAACAACCTCCCCTGATGCCTTCACGTAGTACGCGATGATGTGAGCTTCTGGGGCCATTGTTGCAGTGATGGGGACATTGAAGTGAACAGGGTTCTGGCCGCCAACAGTGACTTGGTCAGTGATGTCAACAGTACCCCGGGATAACACCTATAAAGACAATAGTATCTGTGTTATCGTGAGTTAAGTGCCACCTGTGAATAAAACTCACGGGAAGGGAAAGCAACCCGAATTTAGCTATCAATATGGTGTAGTATTGAAAAATTACAATCTATACATATATCGCCATATATCATGTATATGATATATATATATATATATATATATAAAAGAAGAAGTTTCTGAAATAATCACACGACACGGATCTTCTCCAACATGTTTCACTTTTATCTTCAGGGAGAAGTGATTCCAGTTAAACGGATTATGTTATGACGTCACTTTGTCATGACGTCACATGCAACTGTATACAAATGTTGTGACGCGGCGTTGCCATGGCGTCACATTGGCGGCTTCATTTGTATACAGTTGCATTGTGACGTCATGACATAATCCGTTTAACTGTAATCACTTCTCCCTGAAGATAAAATGAAACATGTTGGAGAAGATCCGTGTCGTGTGATTATTTCAGAAACTTCTTCTATATATGTACTACTGTACGCTCGGTATTCTCATCATTTTCTTTATATATAAATATATATATATATATATATATATATATATATATATAGGTAGGTGGGTAGGTAGATAGATAGATGAATTATAATTGAACCGTGGATATGTTGAACATTATGAACGTCATATGTTGTTCCTTGTTACATATTCAATTTTAATGTTGGTGTAAACATTATACTTTATATGCCGTGGCTGATGGTTCGTCATTATTTGAATGCTCAATCAATCAAACATTGCATCATTCATTTTTCTCAATGACTGAGCAGATTACCTGGTATGTTATGAAGGGTACATCTTCGGTCAACTCAATGCTGAACAGAGCTGTCTGACCCGCCTGAAACAAACCCAATATTACATATGTTAACATATTACATGTTGTCGACCAAACAGGAACAATAACTTCGAACAGTAACTAATCAATCCCTAGTGAATCATGCCGGATGGTAATCCCTTCCAACTATGCCAAACAAAACATCCACACATAGTTATAGTGCAATCTTGCCTACCCTGAGACCCTTGTTGGTGAGTTTGAGTTGCATGAAGTTGCCACTGAAGGAGGTCTTCTGCTGGACAGTCAGAGTGTCGGATATCTCATTGTAGTGAACCTGGAATGAATATTGTTGTGAGCATTTATGGTCCTAAGGGCGATGACAAAAAACATCAAAATCACACGAGAAATTAATCGACTACTTTAACCTTTGCACTGTGTTCGCAACTACGTTGTCTAACATTACAAGCAATAAGAGTAAGAAAAATAATTTGTCATTCGCTTGCTCCTTTTTATAAATTCAGGTTGCAATCACACAACTGTTTATAGTCAAATGCAGCATATACATATAGTTAGTTACTGGGTTTGTCTATTTAATTTACTACATAATCCAATCATATCAGAAAATTGGTTTGTTAAATTTTCACCTTGACGTTAATACTAGTGGTGTTCTCGGGGATGCGCATGTCTACGGGGATGATGCCGGAGGCAGGGATGGTGTAGTTTTTGGGTGGGAGGCCGTAGTTGCCGGTGAAGGATGAGCAGGAGAACTCGGACTGGTCATCTTGGACAATACGGTATGTGACACAGGTGTACACTCCAACAGGGCTGCTGAGGTCGGTCACAGGGCGGCCATCTTGTTGGGACAGCTTGATCTGTTGTGTGATGTGTCAATTTAGATGAGAGCTAAACATAACACATTGTATAACTTAAAATATATGTGTGAAGTATTCAATGGTTTTCATGACAAAAATGTTGATATTTTATGTGTGTTTTTAAATTTCAACTCACATATGCTGTGTATGGAAGTTTGGGTGAGAATGTTTTCGGACTTGAGTTGAGGACTTCAATCTTGTAGGGATATTGGTGGTATTTCACTGAGCTGGACCCGTTCAGTCTCACGCCCGTCAACTCCTCCTTCACGATGGCGACAACGACGACAGTTTGTTCATTTAGACTGCTCTGGAGACGCTTGATGTCCGCAACAGGAATGTCAAATTTGGCTTCCCCGTCAATCTGTCGAGTTTGAACAAACACAATATATGATTCATGATTCTGTCTTGTGAAGAAAACATTTGCGACTGATGTTGGCCTTTCTCTACAGGGAAGATGTGTGCACTATTGAAATGCGTTTGAAAATACAAGAATCAGTTGTGCAGGTAGTTTGACAATTCATCCGAATATAACTACAAATATTATCCTTTTCTTATTTATGACTAGAAATGTATTTCAATTTAAGAGTATGGCATACATACTCTGTATCACAATCAAACTGGATCATTCAGGTCTTTCATTAAAATGTGGATATGGGTAATTTCATAGTTTATCAACCTACAGGAAATGCCAGTTCAACATATTTGGGCGGTCGTCCACAGTAGTCGTTAGCGACGTTCATGTGTGTATGTAACTCCACCATACCCTTCACTGGCTTTCCGAAGGTGTATCTGGAAAAGGAATACATATGTAACAGTGGTCCAGCCTGGTATGCAAGATTAAGCGCGTCAATAACCAAGGTTATACGGAGCAATACGCAACCATAATATGTTGTACTGTGAGAGATGGGAAATTCAAATACTGATTTGATAAAATGTCTCACTTTGCTTTCACTGTTCCAGACAGCTTTGTATCAGAGGTCAGGGAGAACGAAGGAAGATCAACTTTGACTTCAAAGCGGGGCAGTTCTAAAACAAAAAATGGTCTGATCATTTTGCCTGTCGATGGTAATCTCTTATTTTAACTACATATTTAAATATAGGTAAGTTTCGTTTTTCAAATAGAAGCGACAAAACCCTGTCCACGTTAATAAGAAATATCTGCGAAAAGCAGAGTCGATTGTACAATTGTGACTATATCATGAGCAGATATTTGTTTGAGCAGTATTACAGCTGTATGATGTTGTTTGTAGACAGATTCGGTCTGAACCAGACAATCCAATGACCCTCTGTTATATTCCGACTCCTGAAATGGAGTTAAACATCAATGGACACTCGCTTCGATCTGAAGATCAAGGGATATTTGTGTTACCGCTCTTTCCTGTACCCCAATTAATTATTATTTCTAAATGTTAATGAGAACAGAAGAGAACAATACAGTCACACTTACGGTATTCTGCAACTGTAAAAGTTTTAGAGGTGACGCTTACTTGGTCCTGAATAAAGAAGACAATTTTGATATGAATATAATTTTCGAGGCTTGTACATATACGTTTAGCGACGCACTCAGTAGTATCCGTGCAATATGAAGGCATTCTGTAAATAATACTGTCTGGACCAGACAATCCGAGCATGGATCGCCACAATTGGGATACAATGACATGAGTCGACCAAGTCAGCAAGCCTGATCATCTGATACCGTTATTTGCCTCTTACTTTTCATCGTTAAAGTTCTGTTGACAACGCATTTCAATATCAGCCACAAGATCTGGGGTCCACATAACCAAGGATGCCTTCAGAATTAAATATCTGACAACTCAAGGGTCTTTCAAAATATGTTAGAGAAGACCTTTAAGTGCAATTTACTAATCCTCAGACAAACAGTCCTGAAACTGCTGTCGTCACACTATTTACCCCTTCTTAGCCATGTTCGTAGCATGGCAACACCTTTTAGAAATTCTACAATTTTTTATTGCAGAGAACAATTTCGTAGACTGAAGAAAGAACTTAAGATGCATCGAAAGTGTTCTGGTTCGATTAGATGGTTTATGCTCAGTTAGAGTTTCTGTATGCTGTGCATGTATGTCCATTTGTTAGGTACGGCTAAAGAACCAGTGTGTGACAAAAAAGCTATTCTAGGATGTTGAGGCCAAACTTAATGTTTCGATATTTGGGGGGATTGTATATTCTAAGGTTACAGGCATGAACTTGAAGAATCGAACTGAAAAGTTTTCTGATTTGAAAGGACCAATCACTACAAAAGTGACCAGTCACAAAATCCTACGTGCTGCAAAAAAAATCTTTGTATTGTTTATAATTGTTTTGTTTATTAAATATATCAAACCAGCAGCTGCTGACACTCGTAGAGCCAGGGCCAGTCCTGCAAAAATAATTCTAAGATAGGAACATAATGTTTTTCTAAAGATTAATAACTATAACCAACCCCTGGTGAAACTCGTAGAGCCCAATCTCCCAGAACAGTCTTATCTGCCAACTGGAACTCCCCAGCCACAACTCCAGAAGATTCATGGAGAGCCGTCCACTCCTTCAGAATGTTGTTGTTAGGATCCTGCAGAATATACCAAAGCTCTATGCACAGAATATCACTGTAAATGTTCTTATGGATAAACAAAGAAATATCCACTTATAGTTCACTGGCATTATTTCACATTTTGAATACAAATCTTCCTGAATGTTCCAAAACAAATAGCATGTTATGGTGTATAGTTATAGTTATGCAGTTTTCTACGTATATTGCATGTTTATACTGTTGTGACAGATATTATATTGTATTATCAACTTACAACAAGGGCTATGTTGAAAGTCCCCATGTACACATGCAAACTTGGGTAGACACCAAACGCTCGGAAATGAACTGCAGCAGAGACAAATTAATCATTGGTTCAGGTAAAAAACATTCTTATTAATGAATACACAAAGTCATTTAGGAATTGGTCAAATGTAATACATGTTACACACTCAGCCACCGAAGAATCCCGGATAGAACTCAAACCAATAAAAAGTACTAGAATTTGTACTTTACTCTGAAAGTGTAATCAAAACATAAAGGCAAGGCAAACCGAAGTATTCGCCAGTTACACGTTTTAATTCGGGTAAAATGCCTTATTTAAAGTAGAATGGCTTAAGAGGAATAAAGAAACCAAAGAAACAGATGACTTTATCATGACATAAGTTTACATCCTTTTTCAGCTCACCCATCTGTCCTGGCTTGTACATGGCCTTGTCAGTCTGTACCATGACAGAAATATACTTGGAACGGAGGATGAGGGACGTTTCTCGTTCAAACTGCAGGGCCCCTCTACCTCGGACATGGAGACGGTAACTTCCATCAGAGATGTCTCGTGGTACCTGGTGAGAGAATATACTGATTGATCTGTACGTGAAGATGAATAATACTAGGCTCTTATGATCTCACATACATCTTTAACAATGAAGATACAGAAATTGTTATGTGGAAGTGTTGATCATGATAAAATAGTGTTGCAAATGTATTACATTGAATACACTAAACGCCAAAAGAAACGTTACCCTCCTTCCTTAATGACGGAGGTACCTATCTTCAGCTGGCGTTGTGATGCGTGGACGTTCACTGCTTGGTCTGTGTACGGTGAATTTAGATGTTGCTAAACATTTTTTCACAATATCAAAGACACGTTTTACTTGTTTTCACTAATGCAAATCAGCAGAAAATGTTTTAAAAGTCATAGGAATGATTATTTTACAATATTACACACTCTACAACAGTTGTTTCTTGTTATACTAGTTGAAAATGGTGACTTTAAATGGTTTTACCATTGTCCCAAAGCAGAATGTTAGTTCAACCTTTCTTTTGGACATCAAAATCACTATTATTGGTTTATTTCGGAATGGACGAATATAGGACAATGTAACTTTTCTAAAAAAAGCATTTCACCTAAATATGAATGCATTTGAGAATTTGTTTTCGTAATTTACATAAAGCTGTGTTGTTTAGCTTTCTTGTAAACTGAAACCTTCTAAAATATCTTTGATAGTTTTTCAGTAATTCATGAAGATAGGAGGGTAACGTTTCTTTTGGCGTCTAGTGTATATGTAAAGGTGTACATTCTCGCCTGTCATCTTACATCATGCAGTTGCATGGAGATTACTTTTCACTTGTTAATCTTAATCTCTAGTATCACCATATTGCAATAACTACTCATATCAAAGTGTCTTTAAGTTTGTATTGCGATTGTAATCCTGTGCAGTAAATGATACTGAGTTGAATAGTTAGGTCATTTGAGAATAGTTGATTGTGTAACATCTCTTGGTTGTTTGATTGTTTCATTGACTGAATCAGCACTGACTGATCTTATATACTTACATTCAGTGATATCGTCCCTGTCGTTCCTGAAATGCAATGATGGTAGAAGTTCTGAGACATAATTCTTTACTCAGTTAGTTACTTTCATGGATGCTGTTGAGAGAACTGCAGAGTAATGGTTAAATACATTTTGTTATGATAAAAAAAATTACCAACATGTTAACAGTCTCAGTATTTGGTATTGCGGATCCCACGAGTACACACTTTAAATCTAGTCGTAGAATTATTTTAACAAGTATTTTTTTATCTGTCCAGACCGAGCTTACAATAGTACAATGCCAGAATATCCACAAGTTTCCAATTGGTCATGATACTGGCAACATACCTCGTCGTGTATCCCATTCTGTATTGTAATCAATATGATTAAATTGGACACGATGCAACAGATCATGTGGTACAAGTTCAGCTGCAAAGCCTTTCTTCACTATAAACACTTTGTTTCCATTTTGTTCATGTTTGTAATATTAATAACAATATAGATATGTCACTAAGAATTCTCAAAGAGTGAGTTAGTGAATTTGGTCTTTCGCCGCTTTTATTCCGGTAATATCACGAAAGGAGACAACACAAATGGGCTTTTTCAAAGACATACAAGGGCTAAATGCAGCCTCATTACCCGAATGTTGGCACAACCTTTACTTGTGAGGATAAAAACTTTCCACATTCCTCGGAAGAGCACCTAACGAATATTCAGTTTGGGGGTCACTGAATTCTCTAAAACTTGTGTGGATGACTACATGGGAATTTGAATAAACATGACACTAACCACACAAATGTTTTTGAAACGGTTAGAAAGTCTTCGTAAATAGGAGTTTCATGATTGGTTGGAACCAGAGTGTGACGTTTCAGTTTTAATAGGCATTGGTCTCTAATGAGAGATGTGTACAACAAACAACGCACGACTGATAACTCTCAAAACTGTGAATCAACAGACCATAACATGATTTCACACTTTTAGCAAGTTTTGCTTGAAAGGATAGCTTGAAATGCCACACTAGAATCAACCACAGTTACCTCTGTATCATGTCTCACCTTTAGTGAAGTCACCTTTGGCCATCATAACAGGGATCCTGAATGAGTTGGTGTAGTTGTTCCATATGCGTTGCAGCTCCACTTGTACATGGACGGTGTTGGTGGTGTTGAGGATGTCGATGCTGACGTTGAATGGCATGCCACGTTGCAGATACTTGGAGGACGTTATGAGATACGAACCTCCGAACTAGAGGAGCAGTAAAGAGTTGTCAACAGAGACCATGTTGTCAACAGAGACTGAGTATTCTCTGGAGCTGACGCATTATAAATGATAAATAAAACTGCTCTTGAAACACATGAATCAGACTAAATTCGGTTTGATGAATTAATATGTCTATGTCAATTGACATCAAATTCAAACATTTATTGATATTCACCAGAAAGTGGTCACGCCTATTGAGGAACATTCGCCAATTAAAACCACCAACTCGATTAAAAGTTCCAGATTAAGGCTTCAGACTCGTGAAGATCTGAGTTAGAATTAGATTTCAGCAACCGTCCTTGTCGTGAGACGCGACTAACGGGATTGGGAGGTCTGGCTTACTGACTGGGTTGATGCTTGTCATCATATTACACTTGCTCATGATGTCAATCAGTGATTATCTGGTGCCAACTGGTTTATTCACATACCACTCTCGTACAGCTGGAATATTGCTGAGAATGGCATTAGACAACAAACAAACGAACCTGTCGGCCGTGGTGAATCCTATTCCGACTACAAACAGAAGCCAAAGCATGGTGATACTGAAAATTGAATACAGATAAATAACCATAAATTCCAAACATTATAAGACAGGGTGGTACTGAATACAGCACCAATGTTTTAGTTGCATTCGCACAGACAGAGGGTCCAGACAAAATGTAACTTCAATAATACACTCGTGGTTGTTATCTATCTAGAACCGGATGTTTACAAGATAAGGCAGCCTAAAGAAACAAAGCAGCAGTATCTATCGTGCTCAAAGGTTAGGGTCGATGTGCATTGATAAAAGAACAACTGCACAAAACCAGAGAAAAGATCTTCCCAGCTGTTAGCCCCTTTCACGATTGCTGTCTCTGACCTGAATTGTCTTATCAAGTCATGTCACTGATAGGTTAAGGTGGCTGTGAAGATCTAGGTTAGGACGTGGGTTAGGCAACTATGGTGTCGTAAAAGACGATTAACGTGATCATTTCGTAGTATCCAAATTGACAAATTAGCTTAATTTGCCTTGTTCAGACAATATCATTTACAGACAGCCGACATGTAGCTTCAATTTTGCTAAGTGCGGCTTTAAACGAAAAATCGCACATTACGCAGTCACTTAGAATGATGTGATGGGGGTCAAGACAGAACATTGTAGCGACTGTTTTGGTATTCCTGCAACTGTTACAAATTGTGTAAAATAAGTGAAGCTTTTTTCCTCTATTTCCTGGAACGATAGATAAATTCAAAACAATTTAACAGTTGGTCTCCTATAACAAAAGAACGGATGACTTGACAGCCATGTCAGCATCGTACTAGTGTTCTCTGTAATCTGATAAACTGACTGTACATGCATAATTCCTTGTCAGCACTGGGATCATAACCTCCTGTTACTGTAGTATGCCTTATTGTATATACCATACCGTTTCTATTACTTGCTGTGCTGCATAACAAACATATACAGTGGAAGCTGTCGAAACCGGCAGCTGTCTAATCCGGTAAGTCGTCAACACCGGCAAAAAATACAATGAAGCCCAGACACGTAGTGTGAACAATAAAGAAGTTGACATCCATAATATTTTGTCTTATAAATTAATACTGCGTTGAAATAACACGGGATTTTTCAAATATGTTGATTTATCATGTTTATGTTATCAAGTGAATTAAAGTGAATTTGAGCTGTGTCAGCTCTACAATCCGGCACGCTGTTTAAACCGGATTATGTCTTCAGTCCCAAAGAGTTCCGGTTCAAACAGTTTCCACTGTAGTTACTTAACCATGCACCTTGTGTTTTCGCGGTTGCCATCTCAGAGCAAAGCATGCTTTTCCTTTGTCCGCACATCTGTCATCCCTGATTTCAGTTATCCATTGAGATAATGTTGTTTTTTCGGATTTTGAATTTTTAGGAAATATTCTGTGATTCTGGAAAGTTTGGTTAAATTCCAGTAAATTCATTGTAGGTGGTTTACATAGGGTATAGTTAACATATTTGAGACGATTGTAAGAAATATATATCGACATGGAAAGGAGGTACCTCTTGAGTGCAATTTTCATGGATGAAGTTGTATTTCATGTTGACAAAATTCTTGACTTAGATTCGATAGTTTAGAGGCCGCCGTGGAGTGGCGGAAGTACCGCTGTGCAGCATAATGCCATAACAAACACATACTTACTTTAATATGTACATTGTGTTTTCGCGGCTGCCACCGCAGAACAAGGTGTGCTTATCGTGTTTGCGAGCACCTGTCATCACGGATTTCAGTAATTCACTCAGATAATGTTTCTCAGCTATTTGTCCTATACGCGCACTAGAACATGTTTCGGGAGATATTCAAGATAATTGTCTGGCGCTGACGTTTTAACTTCAGACTTTAAGTTTCAATCTTTAGGCAATAATCTGTTATAAATAACCACTCTGATGAATTAATAACATTAATTGATATAGGTCCATAACAAAGGTTATAGTCACCGAAAATAAGAGCTCACCAAAGACGTTTGAAAGGGATCAACAATGAAAACACAGCATGTGCCTAATGTACATCGTGACCTTTTTGCCACCATTTTGCATTACGTATTAAAATACCTAACCTTGATAACATGCTCGGAATAAAATTTAAGATTCTGCACATAACTTAACTGAATGCTTCGTAACATTCAGCCCACTGAAATACGTGAATAATAGTGATTAATTTGATGAATTAATCACATTAATTGAAACAAGTCCATATCAAGGGTTATAGTCACAGACAAAGAGGACACAAAGTAGGGAGTTTGAATGGGATCAACATTGAAAAGTAAGAACTTGCCTAATGTACATTACCTTTGCAGAGACTTAACCTTGATTACATGTTCGGAAATAAAATTTCAGAACCCACAGGTAACGTCACTGAATGTTTGATTGTTGTTGTACAGCCCACTGAAAGAAATGAATAATATTGTGTGGCCAACTTACCTTTCTTATCGTTCTACTGAGGAGACCCTGTCAGGCGATTAACGCTTCCCACTATATATACCTGGGAATTATCTCTCTTATCTTTGTTCAGGTAGGTGTTTTTATTGGCTAAATGTGGGCTCACTGGGTTGATCACCCACCATCACTCCTACTCAATTAGAATGAACACCTGACAGTTATACCTTTACTTTTGTGAATATATATCACGTTGATTCTGGAAGTTTGATGAAATTTAATTGTAGGTGGTTTACATATGGTATAGTTAACATGTTGAAGACGATGCAGTGCATGTGAAATCATCATACGTACGTACAGTCATACGTATGTATCAAACTACGGATACAAAGACAAAAATTGCTGTGAAAAATTGCATGTGTGTTGAAATGGAAGGGAAGTACCTGTTGAATTTTATGAATCAGAAAGTGTAAACCCTGGTGCATTGAACGAATTAAAATGGTTACAAGAGTTTTGCTGTTTGTGATAATAACATGTACTTGAGGTCCAGTGGCTGACTGATAATAAAGAGAAATGCTATCTTGATTTTGATAAGTTCCCACCTGTAGCCCATATTCATATTCTGCAAAGTTTGTATGTAAAACTTTACCGCAATTTTGCCTTTTACCATAAATGAAATAAATGGCTTGTCACAGAGAGGAGAGGCTACAAGTTTAAAGAATACCAAGTGAAAGTAGCACGTTTGTGATTATAGTTTCTTAAAATAAGGATTCTAGTACTATTGTAGGGTTGAATTCCATGCAGGATTCGAACCCAGACCCTCAGAGTCAAGCAACTAATCCCCAGCATACAAAGTCAGCCGTCTAACCCACTCTACTTCCACAAAAATGGAAGTCGGACATCTGGTAATCAGAACTATTGACTTTGTGTACACCTCTGATGAGTGTAAAATGGCACGGATCCCACTTAGTAAATGACATTGTATATTCACTTCAAACCATTGCTTTATCACATGAAACATTTGAAATCAGAGACTTGTGTTTTATTGGAGTACACCACTTATTCACCAAGGTAGAAAGACATTTTTTCCAATGAAAAAATTTAAATGAATAAATCATGTCCCCGTTCTTAATTTCTATATTTAATTCTAATAAATGTCAATTCTTTGTTGTTCATCGAAGCATGGGGTTGGAAACTTTCTATTTCTGAAGCTGTTTTAAGTGAGTGCGTAATATATATTATGATTCATTTACCAGAAGCATTTGATACGACCGTAAACGTATATGTATGCCGGATACTAGATATCCAAACAATGTAATATAGAATGTCAAGAAACAGGATGACCGAGGTAGAATTACATGGGCTTCGACAGAAACGACAAAACCCTTTCCACATTCGTAAGAAATCCCTGCCAAAAGCTAGTCAACTGTTCACATAAAAATATCGGTAACGTATGACATCATTGGTACACATTGGACATCATTTTTGTCATTGGTGCATCGAATTTTATAAAGTCTTCCATATATCCAAAAATATTTTTGAAAGCAATAGTAAGGCCTGAATATTATGACTTTGTGCACTTTACTTCGGTGCATGAGTCGTATGCCACTCTTTGAAATCTTGATATAACGTGTATGCTTTATCGACCTCAACAGTTATGAATGCAAGCACCAAAGGCTGGAGCTGTTGGAACATTGCTCGACATGAAAGGATAGTGGACTATTGGAAAACTGAAATCATCCTTTTTGTATTCAGCCTGGTAGGGAGTATTTTCTCATTCTCATTCTTCATGCACAGATCTAAATTCAATAAAGGCTGTCTCACGTGTATCCTCAATTGTAAGTTCAGGAGGGTAAATCAGTGGAAGGAAATTGTCTACTTGATGGTTATTGGAGTTCACTTTATTTGCATGGTCATTGTTTGCTAAATAAGTTTGGTTTGTATGTTGTTTAACGCCGCACACAGCAATATTTCATCTCTATGGCGGCGATATGTAAATAATCGAGTCTGGACCAGACAATCCAGTGATTAACAGCATGAACAGTAATCTACGCAACAGGAATGCGATGACGTGTCAACCAAGTCAGCGACCCTGACCACCCGATACCGTTAGTCGATAAGCATGGGCTACCGTAGATCAGTTCTGACCCAGATCTTCAATGGTGTGCTAAATAAGTAAAAGATGCCCTTTTCTCGTGTTCTTCATTATTATAATTCTAATTGAATCTTAACTCAACTTGTTATTGAACCTGACTGTGTCTGTCATACATGTATCATGTATCCTAAAACATACTTCACTTTAGTAGGTTCTTTGAGAGGCATTTTAGAAGTTGCATAGGTGGAGGAAAACCATGTTGTATGGATAGTCAACTTCTTTATTGAAATGAGTGCGACGTTTCGGCGTTCGTACTAACGCCATTATCAAGCAAGTTACCACTTGCTTGATAACGGTGTTAGTACCTACGACAAATCACGTCCATACTTCCTTACTTCAGCCTTATTCCATCTTAGATCTACATCAAACTCAAGATTTAACCTATTGTTTTACATGAAACAGCCCTGATATTTAGTCAAGGTTCCCCTCATAGGTTTCAATGTTTCTATTGTCCTGTTTTCTGTATTTTGCGATCCCAATCTTGGTTTCAGTCGGCTCACGTCACGCCTGTGTCTGACTCTGATCATTTGTGAATACAAGATGTCGACACATGAACCTAACGTTACCTGACTAATACCTACTGCAGTATCTGGGTTTGCAATTTTGAGGTGATAAGGGATGATAAAGTTCCTTTTCATGAATTTCTTAATTTAGGAATATATCTCCCCAAATTTCCCTGCTTGCAGTCGATGCCGAGCGGGGTTAATGTGGATTTTTTTTTTATCTCTTACATTCATCCTAATATTTATCCTTGGTATCCTTAAGCCAATATCTGGTGTACCCAGCCGCGATCTTGCTGGAATATTGCTAAATGCGGCTTAAAACAATACTCACTCACTCACTCCTTGGTAACTTTGGTTACATGAAAACCGTTATCATAGGTCTACGACCTGCATCATTGCTGCCCATCCTCAAACGTTGTGCCAGTATACTGTCAAATAACCTAACCACTGCTCAATGCAACATCAAAGTAAACGCACTGACTCACTGTTAAATTCCCATTTCAGGAACAACAGGCCCTCTGTCCATGAATGTACGTATGATCCTTTGGTGTGAAGAAAACAAAATGAGATTATACAATGTTTGAGCTCTCCGATATCTATTTCTATCTGTTCTTGATATTCTGTCACTCATATTCATCTTCGTTACTCCCCAAATTTCCCTGCTTGCAGTCGATGCCGAGACACAGTGGTGCCCATGGAACGTTCCATCTTGGAGATCGATATGACTGTTTGATGAGAGTTTGTTATCAAACGAGTAACTGACTCTGATACAAAATTGGCTAAAAACTTCACGCTAAAGTGTTACAAAGGTTTAATGGCAGACATGGCTTGGTTAATGAATAAAATCTTACCAGTTTCGTATTGTTTTTAGTGCATTTAGTGCATTTTACGTTGAGTGAGCATAGTACATCCAGTATGCAATATAAAAAAAATAAGTCAAAGATTTGCTGTGTGTTGACAACATTAAGTTTAGTATCACGATCTAGTGGTCTACCTGAACGGACACTAACCAGTATCCGATCAGTGTGTCTGAGGCCGTGCGTCTGTGAAGCGACAGAAGTCTCTCAACATATACACCTGGGCCCAGTTGTTAGAAATACAAATCGTTGATAATGTAGGAGTCTTATCTTTCCAAGCGACGTGATTTTCCCACAGCGTGGACACTTAGGTACGCCCACCATAACACCCACTCGGTTTCATTAGACAATGCTGTTTATGTGTTCTGTTTCATAGCTTTCAAAAGTTTTTCATTTACATGTGTTGGAATTTTGCAGTTTTCTGAGAAACAGATTTCAGCTGGAACTCTATTAATGTCGTCACTGCACGACTGATATACCACTGTCATGTTGATGTAATGTTGATATATATTGTTGACATGTTGAAAACTTTATGCAGATGAACTACTCGAGGATCATGCATCAAATTGCTGAAAAGCATGTGCAAATACCGTGCATGTGAACAGCTGCGTTTTGGTGTAAAGTTTTGTTAAGAATTCGACAATTTTCACTGGTTTTTATCATTGTACTGAACTCATGGCAATTATCTTTTCAACGTTATCAATTTGTCTTACAATACATCGGTTCATGTGTTAACAGTACCTTTAACCAGTATGGAATATTTTGCAAAATTTAGTTTAGAACAGTTGCCTGAAGTAAGTGGCTATATTTACACTAGTGAGTCTACACTTTAGATGAGATATATTAATGAGTGAGTGAGTGAGTGAGTTGGGTTTTACGCCGCTTTTAGCAATATTTCAGCAATATCACGGCGGGGGACACCAGAAATGGGCTTCACACATTGTACCCATGTGGGGAATCGAACCCGGGTCTTTGGCGTGACGAGCGAACGATTTACCCACTAGGCTACCCCACCGCCCTGATACATTAATGAGAACACTCAAGCAAACCTTGCAATGTTTAGTGAATGCTTGTGAAAGACAAAAAGTGGTACTTCGATGACAGATTTCAGGAATGACATTATAGGGTAAAGAGGTTAACACGCCTTCATGACCAAGAGTCCAATCGAACGAGTAGGTGTTATGGTGGGCGTCCCCAACGCCTCTCGCTTTGTGAAACGTCAACACACATGTCACTTTACATAGATAAGACACCTACGAAGTCAGAAGGTCGTTGTCACTGATAATGACCAGCTATATAAGTTTGGACACCTCTCATGCTCTGAAGACAGCGGTCTCCACAGAAGGTGCTTAAAACAGGTACGTTGGTCAGAAGCTGTTGGAGTTTGAGTTCCTAAGAAAGATTCTGCATCATGCAAAAACGATTATAATCAGTTTAACCAGACTGTCGCAACCCGCTGCTATCTTGACAAACAATAGACATTCCAGATAAAACGTTCGAGTCATGTTTCCATTCAATGAAGGAGTGCCTGAACTCAGCTATTCATAAGTAGGCTAATTTACAAAATACCACGGGATCTTATGCAAAAGGAATGGAAAATTACCTTGATTACATGAATTCTCTTAGATTTGGAAGGTTTATAGTGGCACAATCTATATTTTCAGAACAAGCACCGATTGAGTAGAAACTAAGGTTGGCAAGTTCTATTTAAGGAAACGATTATGTCTTAATGTTAACAGATTATAGTTGTCATGCTGTGTATTAACAGAGTTATTTGTTTTTCAGTTTCACCATGTTTTGGTTGCTTGTCCTTGTCGGCGTTGGTCTAACCAATGCTGATGACAGGTATGCCTTTGTTGTTTTTGAAACAAAAACAGCTCCAAATAGTGAAACGATCATGGGAATCAGCTGACAAATCCGCCATATTCACTACTTATTGCCATTCGTTCAATCCAATCTCAAAGAGGCACATATCCAAGTGTTGTACACAAATGGGATTTCCTCTCGTATCAAGTTTTCATTGAAATACTATTGAAAATGGACACCCCAGTGCGTTGTAAAGTCAATATATTCCCCAAAGTTTTTCTTTACTTGTAAGCATTAGAATATCAACTCACCAGTCGTAGTGCAGGAGGATTCCTGTTCGGGTTCTGGCAAAACAACTTCCATTTTTAGGCACATTTTGGTAAATGGCGGATGCTACAAGTCAGCCTTTCCGGGAACACCTTGTGTCCTCACTGAGTCTCATTGATCTTATCGCATAAGTTATGTTTCCCATTTCACCAAACAGAATTTGTGTCTGAGGAAAGCTCAGCACAGTTTTAGAAAGCTCAGTTCGAACAGATTTTAATAAATCAAGCAAACCCCTCTAACGCGACGTAGAAAAAGTACCTACTATGAACATACACTTCAGAGCAACCATTGATTGATCTTGTCTCTTCTCTAGTTCTGGTGGCTCCTATCTCATTACATCCCTCGAGATACCTGCAACCAGGGATGCCGTTTAACGTAAGCATCGACATCCTGAACACCACCGACACTGTTCATATACAGGCGGAAGTGCAGCGTGTATGGAACAACTATACGAACATCTATAGGATCCCTATAATGATGGCTAAGGGAGACTTTACTAAAGGTAAATGGAACTAGAAGTAGTTGTTGAACTGAAGTCACAAGTTACCTAACATTTTGCGGTAACAGCCTTCTCCTTTGCAGACACAATATATTATGCGTCGTTATAAATTTTAGGGCAGGGTCTAATTATAAGATTAACGGCATTTGTTCACTTGTTTTATCTGTTGGGAAGAGACAAAGGGAGTTAATGTGGAAAAATGCTAATTGTGATCTCTTACATTCATCCTAACATTTATCCTTGGTGTCCTTAAGCCAATATCCGGTGTACCCAGCCGTGATCTTGCTGGAATATTGCTAAATGCGGCTTAAAACAATACTCACTCACTCACTCCTTGGTATCCTTGGTTAAATGAAAACCGTTATCATAGGTCTACGACCTGCATCATTGCTGCCCATCCTCAAACGTTGTGCCAGTATACTGTCAAATAACCTAACCACTGCTCAATGCAACATCAAAGTAAACCCACTGACTCACTGTTAAATTCCCATTTCAGGAACAACAGGCACTCTGTCCATGAATGTACGTATGAGACTTTGGTGTGAAGCATACAAAATGAGAGTATATGATATTCGAGTTCTCAACTATCTATTTCTATCTCTTCCTGATATTCCTTCACCCATATTCAACAATTATTCAATAAAAATCAAGAATATTCTGAAAACATTTTTGAGTTTTCATTTAAGCATGATGTTATTGATATTTTCAGATTCCAAGTCACGTTGAAAATGGTCGTTATAGACTACATGTACGCGGTAGCGGTGCTCTGCAGTTTGAGCGAGAACAAAGCGTCTACCTCCGTTCCAAGTCTATCTCTGTCATGATTCAGACAGACAAGGCCATGTACAAGCCCGGACAGATGGGTGAGTGTCCCCTGTGTTTGGAGAAGACCTTTGATACTGCCATATATTCTTATAAATCATCCGATTGTTACTGAAAACAGCTGTAACTTTATCAAATATGGATCACAGTTATGTCTTCTCCACAACCTCAGTCGTATAGTCGTTTATGCACAATACATATTTGTCATTAATCATTGATATTTTTTAAAATGAAGAAATTTTGTACTTCACTGTCCGAAAACTCTTATATGAAAACAGACAAAACATATCGTGCTATGTTTTTCATCGCAAAGCTTGCATTCCTGAATGTATTTTGTATGGGATCTAGCCCTGGATAAAGGTAATACAAGATTCAATTTGCCTTCCAGTGCATTTCCGTGCCTTTGGTGTGTATCCCAATCTGCAAGTATACACTGGAGCTTTTGACATTACTCTTCTTGTAAGTTATAACCTGTCTTACAAAATATGTTCAAGATCTATAAGGACACATTTCTATGCAGGGATAAGATAAAAGAAGACAATGCAAGAACATACATACATATTCCACACCACAACAAAGAGACCCGGGGGGGCCGATAAGCCTAGTGGTTAAAGCGTTCACTCGTCACTCCGAAGACCCTGTTTCGATTCCTCACATATGTACAATGTGTGAAGCCTATTTCTGGTGTCCCCCGCCGTGATGTTGCTGGAATATTGCTAAAAGCGGCGTAAAAATTCAACTCACAACTCACAAAGAGACCTGGCCTCACCTTTCACGTCTCCGTTAATGATGGGTCAGTGGGAGACTACATAAGCATCATTCCAGCAATATCACGGCAGGGACACCGGGGTTTCACCCACGGGGAGTTATAACCACTAGGCTACTCACTTTCCTAGTCACAAGTGAAATATTGAGGAGGTGTAGATAATCAGACGTCTTTCATTACTAATTGTTGCTATATACAATTGTAAAGATTGTACCTTCAATATTCCTTCCATACATGATATACTGAGTGATCTAGAATATATTCATTACCTTTACACTACAAAAAGATCAGCGATATTCTATAATTATCTATTTTCCTCCATGTAAGTATGAATGATGTAGAGGAAAGATTTTGGTTGTATGCAGGACCCCAGCAGAAATATCCTGAAGGAGTGGACGGCTCTCCATGACGCTTCTGGAGTTGTGGGCTGGAGAGTTCCAGCTGGCAGACCAGACTGTTCTGGGAGACTGGACAATCAAAGTCCAACCAAGGGTTGGTTTCAGACTCTGTCCTCTTCATACTGACACAAGTATTTTAGGAAAAGACATGCACCTGATATGTTTAATCAAGATCGATGACATGCATTTTCTGGATTTGTGTTAGTTTTTTTGCAAAAAAGTTGAGTGTCATTTTGAAAATACTCTGTCAATCTAAATCTAAGAGTATGAGTTGTAATGTCTTCATGCATATGCTTATTCGTTGTAGGAAATCATACGAGGGATGGGTTTAACATTTTCCCAAAAAGTCATAGAAGATCTGAAATAGTATAGATGTACTAAATACATCTCCACGTCTATCTGAAGTGTCATAATCAACGTTTTTGTACTTTCAGGATGAAGTCATCATGACATCTAAAAGCTTTACAGTTGCTGAGTACCGTAAGTATAGATAGAACCTTGCCAATATATAATTTCATATACTCAGTTACACTTTTTCCATTACCAGTTTTAATTCCATAACAATTCATTGTTATCTTAAATTTTTCAACCAAAGTGTAGTTGAAAATATTACATTTGTTAAAACAATTAATTAACATCACCATATATAATAGTGTTTATTTAATTCTTGAACATGTTTATATTTCATTTGAAAAATGGAAACGAACGTCACTGATATTTCAGAACTGCCTCGTTTTGAAGTAAAGGTGGACCTTCCTTCGTTTGCTCTGACATCTGACAAGATGTTGTCTGGCACAGTGACGGCCAAGTATGTTTCATATGCCTCTGAAACTAAACCCTGATCCTGTTATCTTAAATTTCAATCTTCATAACGCACCCAGAATCTTATCTTCAACATATACGACAACCTTTTGCGTTATCTCAAGAAAACAAGAAAGAAACAGATAAAGGGGTCACACTCTCGTTTTCCAACACAATTTGAATATGTTCCTGTCCTTACTAGGTACACCTTCAGCGCTTTTCCAGTGAAGAGGGGATGGTGGAGCTACACACTCCAGATGCAAACAGGCAGCGACTATTGTGGAAGACCGCTTAAATATGTTGATATGGCGTTTCCGGTAAGTGCTTACCAAATTTGGTTCTAGAACATGTGATCATCTTTTTTTGCAAAAACGGAGATGTGTAATGAAAGTTGGATACATTTGCGAATCAGCTGCCTTCAATACAAATGTATAATCACATGCATGCTGACATATTCCTCTATCTTGGGCTTGCTTAAGCTGCAATAACATTTTCAGAAACAACTAAAACACCGGAAATAGCATTCGGATGAGGGTGAATGTGTTAGTGAGCCAATATGATGAGAAATGACCATGATGCCCCAAATAAAGCTGGATATAAGAATAAATGTAATTTCATATATCTAATCACAGATTGATGGGGAAGCCAAATTTGGAAATACCTATGGCTGACATCATGCGCCTTCCAGAGGTATTTGGATGGCTACTCTGTCGCCGTTGTGGCAATCGTGAAGGAGGAGCTAGCTGGAGTGAAACTAAACGGAAGCAACACTGTCAAGTACCACCAATACCCCTACAAGATTGAAGTCCTCAACTCCAGCCCTAAAACATTTCTCACCCAAACGCTACCATACACAGCATAGAGTGTGAGGTCATGTTAGAATACAACTTAACATGTGTACCATTTTAGCCTTTTATGTTACAAATTTTACAAATGGTAGAAATGTTCTCTCTCTCTTCTACATTTACACATTACGCAACAACAACTTCCATACACAGCATATGTGAGTTGAAATTTAATAACACACATAAAATATCAACATTTTTTTGTCATGAAAACCATTGAATACTTCACACATATATTTGCAAGTTATGCAATGTGTTATGTTTAGCTCTTCTAAATTTTTCTACACATCATACAACAGATCAAGGTGTTCCTGAACAAGATGGCCGCCCCAGAGCGACCTCAGCAGCCCTGTTGAGGTACACTTGTGTCACATACCGTATTGTCCAAGATGACCAGTCCGAGACTCCTGCTCATCCTTCACCGGCAACTACGGCCTCCCACCCATTAAACTACACCATCCCTCGCCTCCGGCATCATCCCCGTGGACACATGCGTATCCTCGAGAACGCCACCAGCATTGATGTGAAGGTAGATACAAAAC